TGTTTGCTTTGGACACTAAAGGAATAATTCACCACAGATTGTTGCTAATAATGAATGAAAGGAACTGGGGGCCAATTGAAAATGTGATTCACTCATTGTTAGGCTTTTAGGATGAGGTATTCTTTTTATAGGCATTAATTACACAGGATGTGGACCAGAATAGTTGGTATAGTTACTGATGTTGGTCAATATAAGATAAAATATCAACCCTGATAGTGTGTGTGGCATAGATGGTATGATTAAATTTCTGCTTGTTTCGGTATATAATAGTTTTAGATGCTTTTTTAAGTTCAACTTTTTTTGTAGGTTTAAAGTGGCTTATTTTTCTCTGATGTGCTTTTACATTTAAATAAGGTCCATTTTTACCAAACAAAGTAAATCTGAAAAATTTTTTTCTGCAAAATAGTAAAAGCAAAACTGAACAATATATAGATAAACCCATGTCAGTATTTTTCCAAAATAATTTTTAAAAGTTGTGTTTAATGTTGCTTCACATTTGAATTTCTCCAAAGCTGAAGTTGGCTTCTTATTCGGCAGCTTTTCGTTTTAATTTTCCATTCCACCTTAAATGAAGCAACACCTTCATTATGGCACATTTACAGGCACCTGAATGTAACTGCTGCACTATTTCAGGTGGAGCAGGAAATTTGAATGAGAAGCCAAAATCAGCTTTATCAATTTTCTTGAATCGTTTGTGTCACATGTGCGTCTCATACACACTGCAGGAATTTGGAAAACATTGCAGTCATTCACACTTCAGGACCAGCTGGTCCACTGGTTGTTGGGCAGACAAGGGCAAAAGTCTGATGCAGCTGACCGAGTCAGGAGGCTCCTCAGCCAGGCCTCATTGGTCTGGTATCCCTGTAGGGCTAGGCTAAGACTAACCCCAAAAGACTGGACTAGACAGGGGGAGGTGATCAGGGGTCTGCTGCGTTTTCATTTTTATTTGAAACCTGACTGAAACATGCCTCAGCAACTCAGCTAAACAGGCTGATGTACGCAGGGTTTGCGCTGTTTATAGGGTCTGTTATCTGTGCTTATTAGCGACATACCGATATAATTGACAAAACTCTTACCTGATGAAGAATCTCGGCCAGTATCCCAGATGAACATGTATGATCTGAACATTGTGGACCACTTTTTTGTTTCAGTAAACTGCCTCGACAGTTTTTTCAGAATCAGTATCATCAGTTTTGTGAAGCCCTGCTAGAACTGCAACCACCACTATCACAGCTATTTCTTCTGTCTGTTCCAGTTATTTCTAAATGATGTCACTATAACTATCCCACCTTCCTTTTCTATTCCAGTCCCTCCAGATGCCCTGCGACCATAACTGTCGTATCTCCCCGTGCATATCAGCACTCTACAGCTCTAAATCCTCCATTCACGTCTGCTCCTGGTTGGTCCAGGTCATTAGACACGGGCTCTGTCCCGTTTAGAAGGCTTGAAAGCGAGGTGCGAGAGGGAGCCATATAGAGCTGAATCCCTCGCTTTGAAGTGTAGGAGGTTGCCCGCTGGCTGTGGGGAGTGTGTGAGGTCCGATAAGGGGCCTGAGCGGCTCCTTTTTAATGGAGTGGGCAAAAGTGCCCCTTTCATGCGGGTCTGTTTGGAGATCAGTTTGACTGTTGCTCTTTAGTGGGCTGTTTTAGTGTGTTGAGGAGGAAAACTGGCCCCAGATCAGTGTTTAGGCACAGGCAGGGTTTGAGTTTTGTGCTGAGGGGGTGTGTAAGTGCGCTAGAGCTGCTGTATCGTTTGTTTTAGGGAAGGCAATAAAAAATAACCAAAAAATGGTCAAAATCCAGGATCCAGGCAGAGGCCGCCCAGAACTCCAGCCCAAGTTCTTAGAGTTCTCTCCCTCCCTCAGTCAGTCTCCCCTCATACTACCACCTTATGTTGAAGGCATGGTCCGAACTCAAAAACAGCAAATATGTTTTAATCAAGCTCATGGTTGATTGAAATCTGAATGGAAACAGAGAATATGGAGTGGCGCAGTGGTAGCACTATTCTGTGGGAAGAAAAGGTTTGCTTGTACAATAAAGCTAGCAGTGCCCTTTACATGTGGTAAAATCACTGCAACACAGTGACTCACTGCCTTTATAAAACTCGCTTTTTCGTTTTTGTGCTGTTTACTTCACTGTAGAGGCACTTTAAGCTGACATTATCCAAAGCGGTCAGTAATGAGAGCCGCTTTCAGAAGGTAACAAAGCCGTTTAAATGTCTGTGGTGTTTTAAGTGTTGAAGTGTTTTAAAGAGAAAGTTCAAACTGTGCAATAGCTGCAGCTCCAGAGTGTCCACTGTTTAAACCAGCCGCCTGTCGTCTAAATGTGGGCATGTAAAACGTTAACATGTGGCTAGTGACTGATTTCTGCCAAAACCGTGTACTAAATACACTCTGGCAGTGTTTTAACCCACGAGTAGCGACTGATTAAGAACTATTGTGAAAACGTTGCGGTTTAAAACATTTCCGGTTTAAAACTGACCTTAGCTTGTTGAAAAGTGAGAGAAGGGAGCAGTTATGAAATCAAAGCGTGTTCACCATCCTATAAAATGGTTTTCACATAAGATGTCCAGCAAAACCATCCATCCATCCATCCATCCATCATCTAAACTACTTATCCTTCTGGGTCGCAGTGGGGTGCTGGAGCCTGTCCCAGCTGTCATTGGGTGGAAGGCCCAGCAAAACCAGTGCTGTTCAATATTCAACAATGTTCAATGAAGCTGCTACTTAGCATTAAAGGACTCTGATCAGATTCCGGGTCAGAAAACGTATTGAACTGTAAGACGATATCTGAAGACCATATTTGGTCATCTTATATATAAAACAAATCCAGAACAGTCCAACAACCAAAAATGTCCAGCCAACAGTGGTTCTCTGGTCTGAACTGACCACTGATGAGGGACTAGAGGATGACAAAACTCAAAAAGTCTAACACACTGGAAAGACCATGTTAGTGTCGTGGCAATAGGTTTAAATACAATAGATATTTAATACAAGTCGTATTTGACAGTGTGTGATGTTATTCAGTGGAAAGTTGTGTTATTTTTGTGATGCAGAGATCAAAAAGTGCAAAAGTATTCAAAAACATTGAATTGGATTTAAAAAATGTATGTAGCAACACTGAATATTAACACGTCCTCTACAGAGAACAAACTAAAATGTGGCACTAATTTTAGTGCACGATTTCTGATTATAACATATTGGAAAAAAATTATGTTTGCAGAACAATTTCCAGTTTGTTAAATTCAGCAAATAAACAGTAATTGTGCATCAGAATGTGCAGAAGTGGTGCCCAAACTTTTGTGTGCGACTGTATAACTTAAAAATATCCATTAAAGCGGTTATTAAGGATTATTGAGAAAATCCTCTGATCTGAAATGTTACATAAAGTGTTCTGTTGTTACTTTACATGTATTTATAATAGAGTTGGCATGTCTCTATCCATGTGTTCTCCCTGTGGGGTCAGTAGAGAAGTTGAGTAGTTTCAGCTGGATAGATGCTCATCTTAAAGCTGCACTTTGTTAGTACCAAAAATAAATAGTGTTGCTGAGAAAAAAAACAAGCTAAAATGTGTTTTGCCTGCACTGCTGAGTCGCTCTGTAATGCCTGAAATTATCATTTAAATGTCAGACGCATCAGGTTCAGAGGTTATCGGACCACGTTACAGATCTTTCTGCATCAACATCACACGCACAGGCTCAAAAAGAAAGTCCAGCTGGATATTAAGGTCTCAAATGCAAAATCAACACCATACTGATGAAGATATGATTCGAACTCCTTCCCCAAGACACCAAACTGAAAGATTACTCAAAGAGAACTGAGTCAAAACTTGCTGAAGCACGTCTTCTGATGATGTGGGTGAATGATCCACTGTTATCATCATATCTTCATCAGTATGGTGTTGATTTTGCATTTGAGACCTTAATATTGAGCTGGACTTTCTTTTTGAGCCTGTGCAGTTACACATTTTCACCAGAGAGGTCTCCAAATCCCCAAAACCGAAATAGTGCATCTTTAAGTGAAGTTCTTCAGTTAAACATAGCTTCTTACTATAGAGCTTATTAGCTTATTCATTTTTAACCCCTACTGCATGCATTATGAGAGCAATTAGAAAAAAATCAATTCACTTTTTTTGCATAAAATAATCCTTGATTTATTTTTTCAGACCCTATTATTAAATTCAAAACATTAAAAAAATAACAGTGTGTGCGGGGGTCCTTTTGGAGTATGTCGCCTTGAGGCAACATTGTGCAACAATGAGAAGAAATGATATAGAGCCATATTCCCTGAAGTGGGGAGACCTGGCTTGTGACTGGCTAAATCCATTCCACTGTTGCATAATGTTGCTTCTAGGCAACAAACATATTTCTGCAAAATCTCATGACAAAAAAAAATGATACTCAATGTTTAAAAAAGAGGTTTAAAGAGATAGTATGACCAAGACCAAGCACATGCTTTTTACTGACGTACTCAAACTCTTCCCTTTATTGTTAACCCAGTCGTTGTCTTTAAATTTGTGTAATGTTATTGTAAAGTGAGGGAAATGAGTTTGTTGCCCTGAGGCAACAACGTGCAATAGAGGGTTAAGACAAAATATCAGATCAGTGATGGTTTCAGTATCAGTATCGGGATCAGAAAAGAAAAAATTGTATTGTGTCTTGTAATTTTTAGTGCCCCTTACCCACATTGATCATTCCTGGACAATGCTTGTAACTCATTCACTCACATTTGGCAAACTGAAGATTCTCCATAAGGGGGAGCTATTAGTACTCCAGTAGCTCTTGATGCTTTGTAAGAGTAGCGCTTCACAGCAGTGAGATGTGTCCCTGTGTTACACTATTTTAAAATGCCAGGTGCTCTTTACACTATGAACATTTCATGATGAATGAACCTGTAGATTTTTTTTGGACTTTTTTAACACAATTTCTTTGATCTCCTATAAAGTTCCAGTTTCAAAGGTTTTCTGGTGACATTCTCGCTCTCTCCTTCTCTCTTTCCTCAGCTTTCTTCACAGAGGTCCCTCATGACATTACAGCACAGAGCGGACAAGACGTGGAGATGGCCTGCTCTTTTCGGGGGGCGGGGTCGCCCTCCTATTCGCTGGAGATCCAGTGGTGGTACATCAGGAACCACAAAGAATGGACAGACAAACAGACATGGACCACCAATCAGGTGCATCTTCTCCATCCTTTCATGAAACACCTGTTCTGAAGGTGTCCAGTAGTATTTATGTACTCTCTTCTTCTGCTGCTTTCTCTCTCTCTCTCTCTCTCTCTCTTTCTCTTTCCCCCCTTGCTCTCTTTTCCTCTTCTTTCGCTTTTCTTTCTCTCTTTCTTTCTTCTCTCTGTCTCTTTTGCTCTTCTCTGTCTCCCTCTCATCCTTTCTCTTGCTCTTTTCGCTTTCTCTCTTTTTCTCTCTCCCCCCTCGCTCTCTCTTTTCCTCTTTCTTTCACTTTTCTTGCTCTCTTTCTTTCTTCTCTCTCTCTCTTTTGCTCTTCTCTCTCTCCCTCTCTACCTTTCTCTTGCTCTTCTCGCTTTCTCGCTCTCTCTCTTTCTCTCTCTCCCCCCTCGCTTTATCTCTTTTCCTCTTTCTTTCACTTTTCTTGCTCTCTTTCTTTCTTCTCTCTCACTCTCTCTCTGTCTCTTTCTGTCTCTCTCTCTCTCTCTCTCTCTCTCTCTCTCTCTCTCGTGAGCCGATGAGTCATTCTGTCGAAGATGTCTGACTTATTTAAAGCCTCTCTGCATTTTTTTGGTGTGATTCTGAGCTGATTACCCGTGTCCACTCATCCACCGTGATGCACAGTGATCAGTCTCATGCAGCTCACCGTCTTCTGATGTTTATTTTGAGCATCAATTTTGAGCCCCTCCATATGTGACGTATGAACACACAATGCGAGTAAACCAGCCGTGACTCAAATGCTGTGGTAAACATACAAGCCATTCATTAAGAAAGCATTTGCACATTTCTTCTCAAGGGAGAGAGGCCAGTACTTTAAAGCTACAGTTCAGGGAAATATTCAATTTGGAATCCTAAATGTGTCCGTTTGCCAAGACATGTTCGGTGTCTGAAGTTTGTCTACGAGGCTCATGTAGATAACTAATGATGGACCCCTGTAGCCCACCAGTTAGCATCCTGCAAATTGCATACTAGGGCTTGCGTAGACTAGCCGTCTAGTCTACTAATAAATCCACTGGTTGATGCTGTGAGCAGCAGTCGAAAAGTTGAGGATGGTATCGAAGATACAGCTGCAAGCTGTGTTGGTCTGTGCTGTGGGCTTGTAAGTGGCACAGGCTAGGCTTTAAGAATCACCATCTCTGATAGGAAAGGGTCATTTGACTGATGGTCAATCACAGAACTTTAGCATAACAAACAGATCTGCGTTTGTGGAGTACAAGTTGCAACACGAGGGCGTCTCGTTCATTTGCTACCTGTATCTATTCTAAGTTCTTCATAATTTCTGATCATTTGTACATAATTAAATGCTTCGGATGCAAACAAAGTCATTCTGAGTGGTTTGATATGAAATGTCCAGTTGTAGAGAAGCTGAGTCAGAATTGTTCACGGTGGTGGTGATAGGAACCGGACGTCTGAAGAGTTTAATGCCTCCCTCAAAGTTATCATATGAAATGGGTGTGAATACTGCCGTATTTTACATTTATCACTGTTTTACCATCATCAGTATTACGTATAAACACTCAGAAGACCCACCTGTTTTATTGGATAGTAAATAAAATGGTTATATTTATGCTGTAGACATTGTGACCCCTGGTTCCTGTCAGCACCACTGTAAAGAATCTGTTGTCTACAACAAAAAGCTTACAAACTACTCTAACATCTCAAAGAATATACCACGTTCTAAAAGGCTTCCTGAGGTGAGTAGAGATGCTCATAGCGTTTAGCTCGATAAGCATTTGTCTCCTATCGGAGTAATAATAATACCAGTGAATCGAAGCACAAGAACCAGTTTAAATTCTCTGAGAGGAGTGTTTCTGAGAGCTGTGGTGATTTTAGAGTGCAGTTTACATCAGAGAGTCTGTGTACTTCCGTGGGCAGAGTGACTGAAAATCACTGAATCACTGAAAAATACTACAAAAATTTTTATGAAGAGCAACTTTCTCCCATCCTCTATCAGCAAACTACTAATAAAACTCTTTTCATGGACGTCAAGATCGCTTACTTTTATTTAATATATCGTCGCTGTCCCAAAGAAAACCATGTATCTCCATTTTTTGTCAATTTTTATATTTCTACATCATTTCAACACACCAGCTGCCCCTTACATTGGGTGAAAATTTCATGATGGATGGACCAATAGAAATGCTCTAAAATCTTTTAGAATAAAACCTCTTTACATTGACTTACATTGAAAGGTAAGTGTTTTTGCCCTCTCCTGTAAAGTTACTATTTTGGAGATATTTGTTTTTCTTTGGATCGCAACACTATGGTAATAACAACTACTTTTCACTGCTTTTTTGACTGGTCAGTTAGTAAAAATTAATAGTCATGTAAGTTAAGGTTGGGCGATATGGTTAAAAGAATGTCACGTCATTTTGATGGTATGTGATGTGCATCATGATATTTATTTTTAATAAGTTGCAACAGACAACAAAGAACCTGTAGTGCCATAAATTATGTCATAAATACCACAGTAATAATAATAAACCAACAAGTACAATGACTTTTAGTGTTCTATGACATGCACTGCACTAAATCTAGTTCAGCAGGCCTAAATATGTTCACTGTACAGTGCACCATGCAGTGTTCTTGAAGAACTGTGTTGTTTCTGATACTGCATGCCGCTCTGTTATTTATAAAAATAAACAAAATGAACAGTTAAAAACAGTGGTAGCAGCAGTAGAAATAGTAGGCCTGGCATGATCATGAAATTTTAGCTAACGATTAATTGCACAGTAAATAATTCTGATAAACATTTTAGTTGCCTTTTTTGTTTATGGTATTCAAGGCCTAAATGAAGTACAAGCCCTAAGTGGCCAGTGTCTAGCTCACTTAGTAGCTCCCAACTGGTAACACACACAGACCGAGCTCAAATAAACAAACAAAAACTGTCTCCGCTGCCCTCTATAGGTGCTGCAGCACCAGTCAGAAGTTAGAACTTTGTTGCTTTCGTAAGACCCTTGACATGTTTCAGTTAACACGTTTAGTAGTTTCTTTTATTTACATGTATTTACTTCAGCCCAGCAGAGGAAAACATTCCCAGTTCACATTAGCCACGTTTACATGCAGTCTAATATTCCAACAATAATCTGACTAATAGCTCAATCAGAATAGAACACATCAATGTATACACCTGAGTCGGAATAGACTAGTCCAGTTGAGGCCATTCGGAATACAGTTTCTATCTGATTGAACGAGGTGGGTAATCCTGTAAATAGTCAGTTAAACAGAAGAATAATAACTGTGTAAACGCCTGTATCTGATTACATTCCCAATCGGAAAGTCTAAGTACCTTCTGATCATGTGCATCATGCCATAGTGAAAGTTTATAACGTTCAGCATGGTGGAGCAGAAACTGGTCTGCAGAGGAGACGAAGTTTATGCTCTGATCTTTAAAAGACGGCGGTGGGACGGACGTCCAGCTTATGTGTCTCAGAACACGACGTCTTCCTCTCAGCCTTCTTTAATAAGGACATGTGAGGTACGTTTTTCTGAGTCTGACATCATTTTAAAGTAATTAAAAACACAAGCACTGCTCACTGCTGCTCGTCTCACTCTGACTGGACTTACATGATGCTCGTTGCCCTGGTAATGTCTACACTAAGTGGTTCTCTATGCATGTGCATCATGTTGGATCGGATTACTTGCAGTGAGCATGTAAACAGACAGAGTAGAGTGAGCAGATAAACACCTCAGTCTTAATCTGTAATCAGAATGTATTTAATCGGATTGGCAAACGTCTTTGCATGTAAACACAGACATTGTTATATGATTGTGAAACGGTAGAAAAAATATAATAATTGTGACAGAGGTGTTCCTCTGTTTTTTTTATATTTCTACCCAGATCAGTCATATCTGTGTTTTTCTCCCTCCTCCTCTGAGAAAATTACAGACTGAATTACCTCCTGTTTTTCTCCAAACCCAGAGACCGTCTGACAAAGATAGTCCTGTCTGGATACACAGCACCATGTTTTTCGTAGATCGTTTTTCAGAAAGATGTTGCATTGTGTTAGAAAAAAACATTTGACTGCTGCTGCTCCCCATATTTACTCTTCTAGCATGTGTGTCCATATTAAACATCATATTTTCTTAATCTAGGTGGTCTCCATCCTCTCTACACTAGGAGAACGTTAGCAGCAGGAGAACCAAAATAAACCCTGCCAGAAAAGCGAGCTCTCGCAGGCTGATTAAAGGGATGAATGTATGAAGCACCTTATATTCACAGTATATACACAATATCATCAGTGCATTTCTTTATATGCACAGTATAGAAACTAATCCGAACTCGGCTTTAGATCTTTGGACAAAGCAGGGTTGTTCAGCTCTGGTCCCTTATTCAAACACATCCACTAAACCTGGCAGTTAGCACGAGTTTAATCAGGTGTGTTTGAACACCCTGCTTTAAAGTGTATGGGAATCAGCACCATGGACAGCAGCCACAATAACCAATAGCAGCTGTTGGGTTATTCAGCTTTAGAACCATGGAGAGCAGCACGGAAAGCTGCTCTGAGTGACGCCAGGCCTAGTTCAACTCCACACAGCCTCTTTTACTGTGGAGGGAGATCAGAGAGAAGTGGATATATGTCGTTAATTTGCTAATTGAGGTTTACTTGTAGCTAATTATATGGATTCTGTTATCACTGTTATTGCTATTTAGTCTGTTATAGTTGCTATTACTTCTACTGAGTATGTTCAACTCTAAACTTCAACAGTATACTCGACGCAGTCATGCCAGAATGCTGTTCTAACAAGAACTTAATTGGTCCATTTATGCTCGTCCCACACATGCGATCTGTTGTAGTTACTGTTGCTACGTTGGACAAGCTTTACTGGACTCATTCAGCCTGGTAAGAAAGAGCTACATAACGCTGAGTTTCCAGTTTGGATGCACTGATATGTGGTATTTGTAATGTACATACCTGTTGATAAAATGTTGAAATTGTATCTGTAACATCTGCACTAGAATGAATAAAATGCAGATGTTTTACTGCAGTTGCCCAGCATCACCTAAACTTTCTGCTCTTCCAAAGTGCAATAAATCTGTGATCAGATATCTGTTTGAAATATCAGTTCATCAGTGTTTGATGCTGATCATTTTTTAAGCAAATATCTGCCAATACTGATATGATTCTGATTAATTTTGTGCACCTCTAGTTCCCAGTTTAAACCACACTGTGCTGTTAGAGATCTAAGAATCTACAGCTGGCTGAAAGTGTCAAGGAACGTGTCAACATGCTAATATTATCTCAGTAACACAGCAAAAACACATACAAAACACATAGAACTGGAAATTAGTTCATGTATTTGAACTAAAACTAAGCTGTGCTACAGTTTCTTGTGTTGAATGGGATTCATACAAACGCTCTGTAAAGCCTGTCCAACCACACAAGCTATGAAGCAACACATCAGTGTCTGGAGCCTGATTAGATCAGCTGAGTGGCATCGAATAGGAGTAGTGAAAAGAGGAGAAAGAGGTAGAAGTGGAGAGGGACGAGGAGGAGAGTGGGGAGAAGAGAATAGGCAAAAAGAGGAGAGTGCAGAGAAGAGGAGAGGGAAGAAAAGGAGAGTGGAGAGAAGAGGAGAGAGAGATTGGAGAGAGAAAAGGAGGAGACTGGAGAGAGGAGGAGAGGGACGAGGAGGAGAGTGGAGAGAAGAGAAGATGGAAGAGGAAGACAGTGGAGAGAAGAAGAGGGAAGAGGAGGAGAGTAGAGGGAAGAGGAGAGAGAGATTGGCAGTAGAAGAAAAGTAGAGTGGAGAGAAGAGAGATTGGAGAGGGAAGAGGAGGAGAGTGGAGAGGAGAGAGATTGGAGAGAGGAGGACAGGGGAGAGAAGAAGAGAGGGAAGAGGAGAGAGAGATTGGCAGTGAGAGTGGAGAGAAGAGAGATTGGAGAGGGAAGAGGAGGAGAGTGAAGAGAAGAGGAGAGAGAGATTTGAGAGGGAAGAGGAGGAGAGTGGAAAGAAGAGGAGAGAGATTGGAGAGAGGAGAGGGGAGAGAGGAGGAGAGGGAAAAGGATGAGAGTGAAGAGAAGAGAATGGAAGAATGGAAGAGGAGAAGAGTGGGGAGAGAAAGGAGAGGAGGAGGAGAGTGCAGAGAAAAGGAGATGGGAGAGGAGGTGAGTGGAGAGACGAGGAAATAGAAGAGGAGGGGAGTGGAGAGAAAAAGAGATGGATGAAGAGGAGAGAACAGAGGGGGAAAGCACACAGGTTTAGATGCACTGAGGAGACTGCAGCAGGAAACAGTATCTACACATTAATCACACAGAGGTAGAAATAGCATCAGGTTTCAGAGAGAGAGAGAGAGAGAGAGAGAGAGAGAGAGTGAATGAAAGCTGAGAGAGCAGAAAAAGAGAGCAGAGAAAGCAGAAGGTGGGAGAGGAAAACAATCAGGAAAGATAGTGAGGGACAAAGAGAAACAGGAGAGAGGGGGCCGAAAACAAAAGAGAGACAGGCAGAGGGAGAGAGAGAGACAGAGAGAGAAAAACGAGAGAGAAACAGGAGAGACAGAGAAGCAGAAACACAAAAGAGAGAAAGAAACAGGAGCAAGAGAGGGGTTAGAAGAGATAGAAGAAAAGTGAGGTGTCAACAGAGAGTGAGATAGAGAAAAAGAAAGGTGCTGAGGAGTATTTTCATTGGGTGTGAGAGGTAAAGAGAGTGAGAGGAGAGAAATGGAGAGAGGGAGACGGCCTGAGAGATGAAACAGTTGTACGGCTCCCCACTGCGTGCTCAAGATGCTTTTTAATTGGGGGAGGGAGGAATAGATGGAGGGAAAAAAAAAGCAGGGAGGCAGTGAGAGAAGTAGAGAAAATCTCACTCACCTCCACATCATACATTATTCATACAGAATACAGCCTGCTGCAGTCATGTGGAGCACAGGGTCCACACACACACACACACACACACACACTGACACACACTCGCACACTGACACACACACACACACACACTCACACACACTGACACACACTCGCACACACACACACAGACACACACACACACACTGACACACGCTCACACACGCACTCGCACACACGCACACACACACACACACACACAGACACACACACACTTGCACACACACACACACAGACACACACACGCACACACACACACACACACACTTGCACACACACACACACACACACACACAGCGGCTTATTTTTGTACCATTTTATCTCATATGTATTATTGATTTATGCACAGTATTGTGCAAAAGTCAGAGACCAAACTTTCGCTTAATTTGTAATCAAAAATAAAATTGAATACAAACTATTTGTTTTCCAGCATCAGGAACTGACACAGAAGCTTCAACAACATCAGTCCAATAATAATAATCCAAACATAATTGGATTTGGAGCTGGATTTGAGCTCAGTCATCAGATTTCTCTGTGCATGTGAACTCTTACTCTGATTTCTTTCGGATTTCTCGGTCTGCATGTGTGCAAAACAGACTGCTGCACCAGAAATAAGTGAGCAGTGTTGCCGAGAGACGTAGCAAAACACTTTTGGAGCGACACTGAAACCAACTACATTCTCAACAAAATGAAGGATTTAAATATTCTTCATCTTCTAGACGATGTATGTTTGCATTTTTTAGGTAAAGCAGCTCGATGTTCAAAAAAAAGCCACATCCTGAGTTTTACTCTATGTTTACATCGTGTCTTCTTCTGTGAGTTTATTGGCTGGGTGAAAAGCAGAAATCCGATTACTGTCTGACTCATGTTGCCTGGAGTTTCCGCATTATCTGATTACCCAAGTGCATGTAAACACGTTAATCAGATTACTGGTTAAATCTGATTTTCTGCAGTTATCGGATTATTAAGTGCATGTAAACACACTCAGTATGTAGTGTGTTCCCTCTTTAGCTTTATTACAGCTTCGGCCTTTTTAGGAGACTCATTTTTAGTTTTTCAAAAAACCTTTAGGGATAATTTTCCACACCTCCAAAGTTCAGTCTTAGAAGTTGGGTTTGCTTTTTCTGCTCCTCACGATCCAAGTGATGTTGAGGTCTGGACTCTGGGATGGTCAGCCCATTGTTCTGAGAACACCAGCAGCTTCTCGAGAGCGTCTTGATTGTCTCACCAGTGAGTTTTGGGTCGTTACCTTGCTGTAGATAAATTTCTCAGTGAACTGTTTTCCAGAGGGTATTGCGTGATGTATTAATGTGTGTTTGTACTTATCAACATTCATGTAAGTATCTATATGTATTACTAATATCCCCCATATGTGTTATATGCACCTGTATGCTGTTCTGCAGTGGCCAGGACCCCAACAGGACCACCACAGAGCAGGTATTATTAGGGTGGTGGATAATTTCCAGCATTGCAGTGACACTATGACCTTTTTTTACACAGGCAGAACTACTTTTGTCCTGAAAACGTACAATAACACATACACACTCTGCAACACACTGGCATGTTTCTCCGTCACAGCTGCACTGTATCAACTGTAACATGGATTTCTTTCAGCAGTCCGTAAAAGGTTGATGTCAGCCCAGTGGTCAGAAAACATGGCCTCTGACCAAGAAAGGTTTGGTACTGGAGGATAACAAGCTGCTACCGGCATAATTCCCAGCGAGGCATGTAATTTTGATTCGGTGGAGGGTGCACTGTACCCGAGACAAAAACACACTGACCTTTCTTTGAGGAACTACATGCTGTATACTGTATTGTGTAGTATATTCAAGAACAGTGTACTATCTTGGCTTTATGTCTATTTAATTTGTCCTAACCTTGTTAGGACAGGAATATATGAGATGCCTTGAAAATGAAGCACATTACTGACTTTTTTGCAAATCAACATTCATCATTGATTTCACGTTGCAGAATGCAGCTGGATCGAAATGGATTTGACCTTTTCCTCGGCCAGCATGTAAAACATTCGGAAGCCAGAGATAAATGACACTTCGCTTCTACGTTGAATATATTTAAACTGTGGTATGGATGCTGGCAGGACTGACCTCTTCGTCTTTATCCTGCAGGTGGTGCCTCAAGATGAACTGTCGAAGGATGCTACAAAAATAAGTGTAAGTTTATTGCTTAAATTGTACATCCACTACACATATATGGTTGTTTTAAGCTGAGCTTAACTTTACATCACATACAAACTTTAGCTTAACTTTACATGCATAAAACATTGAACACTTAAAATGTGACTGTTTGATCGTATTCATTTCCCTCAAAACTGTTTTGTGGAACATTGTACACCAGGAGTGCCCAATCCAGGTCCTGGAGATCTACCACTCTGCACAGCTCAGTTCCACCTCTAATCAAGCACACCTGATCCAGTTAATGAAGGCCTGAAGCATTTGAATATTAGAGGCAGGTGTGTTGGATCTGGTATCTCCAGGGTGGTAATGTCCAGGACCAGGATTGAGCACCCATTCCGTACGCTGTATCTCCCAAAGTGTCTACGCATCTGCTTGTCTGAGATTTCTTCCAAAATCAAGGGGCAGTGCCCCCCCCAGCTTTGCTCCTCTGCTGTTCTAAGAAGCCTCATCAATAGATGTTTGAACATTGTTGCTGAGATTTGATTCAGTTCAGCCACAAAAATGTTAGTGAGGTCAGGAATTTGATGATAAGTGACTAGTTCTGGTTCACAGACACCTCTCCAATTAATCCCAAAGGAGTTCAGTGGAGCTTAATCACTCCAGGTCCTCTCATAGGTGTTTAATGGAGCGTCATTCCAGCTCATCCCAGAGATGCTTAATACAGCTTCATCATTCCAGCTCATCCAAAAGATGCTTAACACAGCTTCATCATTCCAGCTCATCCCAAGGATGCTTAATACAGCTTCATCATTCCAGCTCATCCTAAAGATGCTTAATACAGCTTCATCATTCCAGCTCATCCCAAGGATGCTTAATACAGCTTCATCATTCCAGCTCATCCAAAAGATGCTTAACACAGCTTCATCATTCCAGCTCATCCAAAAGATGCTTAACACAGCTTCATCATTCCAGCTCATCCAAAAGATGCTTAATACAGCTTCATCATTCCAGCTCATCCAAAAGATGCTTAACACAGCTTCATCATTCCAGCTCATCCAAAAGATGCTTAACACAGCTTCATCATTCCAGCTCATCCCAAAGTTGCTTAATACAGCTTCATCATTTCAGCTCATCCCAAGGATGCTTAATACAGCTTCATCATTCCAGCTCATCCCAAGGATGCTTAATACAGCTTCATCATTCCAGCTCATCCAAAAGATGCTTAATACAGCTTCATCATTCCAGCTCATCCCAAAGTTGCTTAATACAGCTTCATCATTCCAGCTCATCCCAAAGTTGCTTAATACAGCTTCATCATTCCAGCTCATCCCAAAGTTGCTTAATACAGCTTCATCATTCCAGCTCATCCCAGAGATGTTCAGTGGAGCTTTATTAGTCTAACTCATCCCAAAGGTTTTCATTGCGAATCATTCCAGAGGTATTCAATGGAGCTTAATCACTCCAACTCATCCCAAAAATTGGATAATACTCCATCACTCCAGACAATGGAGCCCCACAGTTTCACAGCCCATTGCTGGGGAGGTTTATACTCCTCTAACTGACCATTGGCATCGAGCATGGTGACCTTAGGCTTATGTGTGGCTGCTCCAGTACATCCAGGCCTGTTTGCGGTGCTTTTCCATGGAGATTATACAGGCTGCAAGTGTGCAATTCAGAACCTTTGTTGGCAGCAGACTCAGTGGCTAAGTCCACTAATTAGAAGGGACGCCTGGACACCTTTGGTCATATAGTGTGCATATTGGAGCTTGAGGTATCACACTGATGTCAAACCTCCCTCTCATTAGAGTCAGTTGTACAGTAGTGGAATGGAAAAATACATTTTGTGTCTTTGTTAGGGCAGGAATTGGAGCAGAAATATGTTTATGCACGCTCTGTCTTTCACAGCCTCCCTCTCTCTCTCTCTCTCTCTCTCTCTCTCTCTCTCTCTCTCTCTCTCTATCTGTGGCTGTAGTGTTAGTGTTTTTGCCCCCGGCTCGGCCACAGGTAATGATTTGTTAACAGGCAGTTCTGTACTAGCCACTCCTGCTCTTGCTCAGAGGGGTGTTTTGTGAGTCTGTGTGTGTGTGTGTGTGTGTGTGTGTGTGTGTGTGTGTGTCTGGAGTCGGTGGAGTGAAAAATCCCTCCGGTGAAAACACAGGGCACTGCCTCACTGTGCAGAAAAGTTACAGAGAGGAATGGTCAGAAAGAGTTTAGGCTTTTCGGTCAGTCAGACTGTCGAAAAGCAAACATGAACTTTCTCATTACTTCTGAATTTAAAACGTAGAATCAAATCACTATCACTCTCAGTCTCACAGACTCAGTCCCACACAGCAAAATCCTTTTAAAAATGTTATTTTGGCCAAAAATTAGTGCATAATTCATTTTATATTATAATCAATTCTAAACTGATAATAAAAATCAGTGCAGTTCAATCACCAGCTTAAGATCGATGCATTTTTATGCCACTTATGGTATCTATTCTTATCCCTAACTGTGTATTGTAATGTTTAAGAGGCCATCTTTGCTATGAGCAAACACCATCTTTGACCATCGTTGTGGTCACTGTGTGCTTTCAGTGGTCATTGTGTTTTAAACAGCCTAGTGTGTGTTTTCTGAAGTGGACTTTCTACAAGAATCTTTTCATTTCTGCTCCGTTTTGTAATTGTTTGGGGGACGTCCAGTGGAAATGACCTGTTCTGAGAGGGAATTATACAGTATTCGTGTCGATATGAATTCCTTGTACATATTTCCTGAGGTCACATTTGCATATTCATTCACAATTGTACCAAACTTAGAGAATAATAATGTAATTGAATCGTTGAGGTCAGAGATTTGCATTCCCGGAATACAGTAGTTCTGTAAGTGGCGTCTCTGAGCCGCGTCTGCTTCAGCACAGCTAGCGTCTCATTAGCGCGCTAATACAGACGAGCTGTCTCCACTGCTGCCGCTCACATCCACATGGGGCCAGAGCGTTACTGTTGTTTACTGCTCAGAGAGCCTTTTTTTAGCCTGTCTGCCTTAAGTGGCTTTTTAGAAAGGAATAAACATATCTGTTGCAAAGACAAGGCAAATACCTTGAAATGGATCCAAATTGTCTTCAAACTAGAATGATGTGGCTCTTGCGCTGTTGCTGTGTTTTTAAAACGTTCTATTATTAACATGCTTTTAAAAATGTTTTAGACTCATGTTTTCCAGACAGAAGATGAAAGTGTAGAGCTTTTGGTACAGTGAGACATCCTATAGCCTGTGTAGAGCTTGTGTCTCTAAGTAGTATATTAAGCACGTAGTAAAGTTTTGGTTATTTGAAGGTGGGCCTATGTGATAAGACAAAATAATGGACCATTGCATCATGCATCAGCAATGCCTGTGTGAGTTCTGCTGTTCTGTTTCTCAATCTGGCATTCACAGCAATTGCTTGAACTGAGGGGCGGCACGGTGGCACAGTGGGTAGCGCTGTCGCCTCACAGCAAGGAGGGCCTGGGTTAGATTCCCGGCCGGGCGGCCAGGGTCCTTTCTGTGTGGAGTTTGCATGTTCTCCCCGTGTCTGTCTGTCTGCCCTGCGATGGACTGGCGACCTGTCCAGGGTGAATCCTGCCTTCTGCCCAATGACAGCTGGGATAGGCTCCAGCACCCCACCACGACCCAGAAGGATAAGCGGTTTAGATGATGTATGTATGTATGTATGCTTGAACTGAGAACAGTTGCTGTTTCAGTACACTAGGTGGCAATGTGTGCCTTTTACTTAGTAGACAGGTAAGGAGAAGAAGTTTGGCCATTTGCTTGTAACAACAAAGCACCTAGTACAGGAGTTAGAGCTGAAATTACAGAGAGAAAAAGGTTTTAAATGTGTTACATGTTGAATGTAGTTACCCAGTAAGAGCAAAGTCCTGAAAATGTAGGTAGTTTTATTATACTTGCTTAATTTTGTTCTGTTCTCTCAGGAAATGTTTTCCTCTTAAGGGGTCAAAATACTGCCTAAAACTAAGCATTAAAGGTAAACTCCGGCCAAATTAAAAGATTTATAGAATGTTACCATCGCTACATTTGTTGTAAACACACTTGCTCTCATCCTGCTGTGGTGCCGCGGACTCTACAGTTCGATTTTCTGGTTTAAAGACGAGGAAAACTGTTTTGTTGTTCTTTTTTCTGGTTAGCTGGTGAATGTAGAAGAAAGCCAGATAGTTAATATTATTGTGGGAACATCTTATTGCTGCAGATGTAATCGTCTTCAAATCATCATTACGATGAAGAGAATGTACGACTCAAACGACAGAAAGGACTTCTATGACAAGCTAAAGTTAGCAAGGTACCTTCCTGTTTAGATACTTTACCTGAGTTTGGCTTTTTTTTTTTTTGGATCCCCAATTTAGTCGTTTTCAACTCCACCCACTAGTTAGGACTCCCCCCAATCACACGATACCACCAGTGCTAGGAGTTCGACCCGTGCCACCACATCTTTTCGAACTGCCGCTCACGTAATGTCATTGGACAGCCGGACACGCTCGGAGGAAAACGCCAACTGCCAGATCTGTAACGTCAGCTAACAGACATCTGCGTTGACTAGAATCACGTTCGAGTGATGGGGGGGCATCCTACCCACCCAGAGAGAGCGAGGCCAATTGTGCTCTCTTGGACTCCCAGCCAAGGATGGCTGTAGCATCACCAGGGATTGAACTCACAATCTCCTGATGATAATGCCAACACTTAGACGGTTGCGCCACTCTAGAGCCCACTTTGCCTTCTTTTCTGTGGCTGAAATGATAAAAACTTAACTCTGGTATCCATTTTGAGCTGAACGAAGATGGAATCACTGTTTTATTTTGAGGCAAGAGTTCCACTAAAGCTAGCTTGGTTGTATTTGATTACCTGTAGATCAGTGGCTAGCAGTCGCGATTGGTTGCCACCACAGGGATTCCCAAATGGTTGTACTGATTCACTGGTGATGTATTTGTGTAATGCATGCTGGGTATTGTAGTGAGAGAAACACTGAGAAATGAAATTGATGTATACTTGTGAATTCTGCCAGACTGATAGGGCTGAGGGCTGCAGTGCTGTATTACTGAATACTGCGTAGCACAACAAAGAACATTAAACTCTATGTCCAGGACAGAATGACCCTTTATGAAATTCATATAATTTTTCATTTACTATAGATAGAAAATGTGAAAACGTTATATTTGCAGCCCTATTTGAGGCAACGTATGAACAGTAATGGAACGATGTGTCTCAGTAGTCCTCTCTGGAAGTTCAGTACCCGCTGATGCTTATGTGACTGATTGTGTCCTGTAATTGCTCCAGGTGGTGAAGGTCGCCGGTAGCAACATCTCGCACAAGCTGCGCCTGTCCAGCGTGAAGCCGTCGGATGAGGGGACGTACGAGTGCCGCGTCATCGACTTCAGCGACAGCAAGCTGCGGCACCACCGCGTACGCGCCTATCTGCAGGTGGAGCAGGCTGGAGGGAAGCCCACCCCTCCACACCACCAGGGGGCAGCGGCGGCCAGCCCGGCCCAGGAGCCCCACAAACACCAGCCGGCCCACGGCCACCACAACCCCGGCAGGGAGCTGAGGAAGCGGTCAGCCGACGACAGCACCTCCGACTGCACAGAGAGCTGCGTGCTTTAGGGCCTAACACTCTTTCAGTTCAGGGGTCTTCAGCTGACCTGTCCCATGCGCCGCCCACAAATAAGCTCTTTTTTCTACAGCTGTTGCCAAGTTGAGCAGGCTTTATAGAATGTTGGCAGAAATCCCATCCAAACAGCTCACCTCACTGATTTAACTCTGCATTTGTCCTTGCTTTTTTTTCCTTCATTACCTTAAAACAGTTTTAATCTGGCACGTTGGAGTCACAGACTCGTGTTGGCTTGGGTCGAGTTCTTACTCAGCACTTGATGCAGTTCGGGTCAGGTTTGGGTCGAGTGCTTACTCAGAACTTGACGTGGTTTGGGTCAGGCTTGGGTTGGGGTCTTACTCAGTACTTGATGCGGGTCCGGTCAGGTTTTGGTTGGGTTCTTACTCAGAACTTGATGCGGTTCGGGTCAGGTTTTGGTTGGGTTCTTACTCAGAACTTGATGCGGTTCGGGTCAGGTTTGGGTCGAGTGCTTACTTAGAACTTGACGTGGTTTGGGTCAGGCTTGGGTCGAGTTCTTACTCAGAGCTTGATGTGGTTTGGGTCAGGCTTGGGTCGGGTTCTTACTCAGAACCTGATGTAGTTTGGGTCAGGCTTGGGTCGGGTTCTTACTCAGAGCTTGATGTAGTTTGGGTCAGGCTTGGGTCGGGTTCTTACTTAGAGCTTGATGTGGTTCGGGTTCTTACCCAGAACTTGATGCGGTTCGGGTGAGGCTTGGGTTGGGTTCTTGCTCAGAATTTGATGTGGTTTGGGTCAGGCCTGGGGTCAGGTTCTTACTCAGAACTTGATGCGGTTCAGTTCAGGCTTGGGCCAGGTTCTTACTCAGAACCTGATGCATTTCGGGTCAGGCTTGGGCCGGGTTCTTACTCAAAACTTGATGTGGTTTGGGTCAAGCGGTTTGGGTCAGGTTTTGGTCGGGTTCTTAGAACATGATGCGGTTTGGGTCAGGCTTGGGTCAGAATTTGATGCGGTTCAGGTGAGCCTTGGGTTGGTTTCTTGTTCAGAATTTGATGCGGTACCGTTCAGGCTTGGGCCAGGTTCTTACTCAGAACTTGATGCATTTCAAGTCAGGTTTGGATCGGGTTTTTACTCAGAGCTTGATGCGGTTTGGGTCAGGTTCTTACTCAGAACTTGATGTAGTTTGGGTCAGGCACGGTTCAGGTTCTTACCCAGAAATTGATGTGGTTCATGTCGAACTTGGGTAGGACCCATCACCCAGAACTTAACATGGTTGGTATGTCTGTTCAGGTCAGGTTCAGATTCACAAATAATGTGGTTTGGGTCATGTTCAACTTTCGTTCACACTCAGAACCTGAAGATGTTGGGTTAATAGCCAAGACACAATGATGCAGTTCAGGTCTGGTTCATAGTCAAAACGTGATGTGATTTGGATCAAGTCAGGCTCAGACAGAAAGTTCTGGGGGGTGTATTCGGGTTTGGAATGAAGCTCTATTGCGTGCTACAGTTTCTCATTAGGGCGAATGGGATTTTTACCAGCGTTCTGTAAAGCTTGTTTAATGTAGCAACTGCTGTAATGAAAGAATGGATATGTGGGCAGAGCATGGGTGGGCAGTTCCAGTCCTGGAGCTTGGCTGTTTTCCCTGCTCAAACTCACCTGATACAACTCTTTAGTTAATTACCAGGTTTAGTAGGTTTGTTAGAACAGAGAAACCAGATTGCTGGACTCTGGGCCTCCAAGACCAGAACTGATGACCCCTGCTTTAATTCGTACACACTCGCACTACTACAACCCTCCCATTCTCACGAAGGCCTTTCCCTGTTCTCCTTCCCCATAGTTCCCTCTAGCTTTTCTCCCCAGATCTTAATACATGATGTATATTATTGTATAAAGCGAAAGTAAATGTTATCAGACCAGCTGATGCATGTCACAGAATTGTTTCTTACAACATTTGCTATTCAAAAGGCCAAAACAGATGGATGATGGTCACAGTGGTGGTCATTTTAAATTCGTTCCAATTGACAGTTTTGATTAAAAACGTTTCGGAGGACAGATCATGTTTGTTAGCTACACCCTAATGTTTGTAATAGTAGGTGACAGCGTGACTGCAACCGCAGAACATCATTCGCTTACTGTATTTAATAGATGGTAATTCTCTCTGTCCAGCTCTATATTAGGGTCCCTGCTGGCAAAACATTTACATACAAGAACTAATATATAAAACAAAATATCTGCATACTGTAAAACTCTGACAACAACAATGCTAAAACAGCATTTGCTGGGTGTATATTAAGTAATTTGCCACTTCGTGGATAAATTGAGATGCGAATGAGTGGTACGAATAAATGAATAATCATGATATGGGACTCCTGAGATCAAGTTGGACAGCACAAGATGTTTCAGAAAGCTGACTGTGTAGAGGCTTTGTGTTTATTCCGGACAAAGTACAATGTGATAGGAGAGGTGCCAAAGCTTTCTTTGCTGTCACTTTATTAGTCCTGCTTTTAGCCGCCTGCAGGGGGCGCACCACAGAACTACCAACATTTAGCGCTCTTTTATTTTTAGCTTATAATAGGTTTAAAGCAGGGATGCACAACATGGGTCAGGAGTCCAGTGATGCCTCTGTAGCTAGGCTGTGAGTGAAATGGCTGTTACAGGAATGTAATTATAGTCCTACATTACATTAACAGTACATAAACAGTACATTGTTTATCATACTTTAATCGTAAGTTGTTGCTAGGCTGTTGCTAGGCCATTGCTATAGTATCCCAGGTGGTTGCTATATATATATATATATATATATATATATATATATATATATGTATATTGTCGGAAGAAAACCTCCAAAGTCTCCAAAATGATAACAAAATGTATTAGCAACCACCTGGGATACTGTAGCAATGGCCTAACAACAACTTACCCTGGGATTTTATAGCCACAGCTTTGTCAAGCCAACTCAAAGCTTCCTCTTCTAGTTTATTTATTGTTTCATTTTGTTTATATTTGGCACTGAAATGAATGTGACTATGGAGCTGTATTTTAATTCAAATACTTATACAGTAGCAATACAGTCTTATAATGTACCTTGTGACAGAAAAAGGCTTTTGTTCTGTTGATTTAAGATGAAGTGCAGTAAAATTAATTGATTCCTGAATTGGCTCAAGAAGTGTGATAAATAATCATGAATTAAATAATCAGCAAAATATTTATTGATTGATTTTAGCCCTTGTGAAGTGGTCCTATTTGTTTTAAAATGTCTTATACATGTCTGTGAACAAGTCACATCTCAGGAGATGAGGATGTTTTTTAGGATACTGGCCATCGAAATACTTTTGAGTTGTGCATCCCTGGTTTAAATGTGAAGCTATATGAGGGCTTTGTTTATTTATTTATTTATTATTTATTTATTTGCCTTAATGTTTTCCTTAGTTTTGTAAATGATAACTGTAAAAATGGTGTACATTTTAATAATCCTCCAGGGTGTTGGTTTCATCTTAAATGTATGCTTTTATCAAATAAAACCATTGTACATTGCCTTGCTGTGGTGACTCATTTTTAAAGCTGAGTGAATGTGTGAGTGGTAACCACATTTCTTGTAAGAAAGGAGGAATCGGTCTGTAGAGTTTACATCCAACCTTATTGCAACTCCCCTGGCTCTAATATGTGGAGCTGGAGGTGATGCATCAGCAAGGCCAGCTCCTAGTATTTAATTGGGCTCCAGCATTTTTCATTGCGGTGACATTGAGAGTGTATTAAACAAACCTATAAATTCACCCAGCTGCTCTCTGCACCAGTATTCAGTATTTCAGATGTTTTTTTTTTTCTGTGAAATGTGCAAGATTATGATTGGTGTGATCTTATAATTCTCACTATACTACTCAGTACATGTAGGGCTGTCACAATTACTTGATTAGAACTGATTACTTGATTAATACAATTAAGTGATAAATATAAGTAAATATATAAATATATATAAAAATGAGTAATAATTAACTGGCCGAGTGCTTAGTTAGCTGTTTAACAGATTCTCCACAAGGGGGAGCTGTTAGCACACAATTTGCTTTTGTGTGCATCACTGAGAGGAAACCCACACTAGCAGGATCTCATGAATGCATGTATGCATATATAAATATAAGAAGAAAAATGTTATGTTTATCCACTGATTTTTTTTGTTAAGATGTACTTCATTCAGAATGGCAGAACTGTTCACAGTGGTGGTGATAGGAACCAGACGTCTGAAGAGTTTAATGCCTCTAAAAGCCCCTCTTAGACAGTTAGTACATGAAATCATTACTAATAATATTCAGATTTGCTACTATTTTACAATCATCAGCATCACTCATCACTCAGGAGACACATGCAGGTTCACTGGTCATTTTGGATAGTAAGTAAAATGGCTGTAGACTTTGTGAGTCCTGGTTTCTGTCACCACCACTGTAAAGAAATCTCAGTAAAATTCTATACAATAAACCTTTTCACACCAAACCACTCTGAATGGCTTTGTTTACATCTCAACCACTGAACTATAAACAGATATTTTGAAAAATTGATACAATTCCCCTTTAACTAGGCCTAGGCTGAACAGCTAACACACTAACCGGCTACTCCAATAACATCCATAGTGAGGCTTTACTAAAGAATTCACTGTAAAACTGCAAAGTATGTAATATGTCGCTTGAATGTCTGTTTCAAATGTCCACGTTTAAGTAAAGTTGGCCTAAATAGTATTAAATGGCACATAGGAAGAGAATGTAAACCACTGTTAGCCTAATTATAGCACTGAAATTCCCATAGATGTGCTATTATTAATTAGCATTATTGTAACTGTGGTACTTAGAAAATGACGACTGTCTGCAGTAAACACTGCCATATAATATGTGCAGCAGTGATATTCATGAAATGACTGACTCAAAGCAGCATTAAAACGTCCTTAAAGCGAATTAAAACTGTTTAAAATGAATTTGCTGATATCTGCAGGCAGACAATGCATATTTAAAATTCTACTGCTTTGTATTACAGAACATACAGTCTGATGGATGATATTTCTATGCATTATTTGCAACGGTATTTTCCATTAAGCCCATTTTTATTGTGTGACCTTAAAAAAATTACCGCATAAAAATTGGTAAATTACTTGATTACTAATATAATCAATAGTGATGTACATACATACATGTAATTGAAGCTAATACAGCCAGAATACTAGCTGTGAAGCTAATAAATGAATGATTTTATGCTGTAATTTCTTGGTCAATATATTAAAATATGATAAAAACATATCTTCAAGTCATGATTAGCAGATTTGCCTATTGCAAGGGGGAGCAATAGGCCCAAGTAGCACTAATGCATGTATGCTTGTAGCTACAAATATCATGTATATAAAGTAAAATGAAATGTTTGTCGTTATAGATTGAGTGTTTATGCAGTAAAAGTATGAAGTAGAAGGTTTTGTTTAACCAGATTTTGGCTGAATGTGCTAGCAAGCTAACAGACTTCCCCAGTAATATTCAGAGTAAAGCTTTGGAAAAAGTTAAATATCTAGGTTTAACCAGAATATTAGCTGTCAAGCTTACAGATGAATGATTTAATGCTATAATCTCGTGGTCCATGTATTAAAATACTCATTTATAATCCTCACAATAACTCCAGAAAGCGCTGTCATTGTTTTCATGCTTGCAGTTTTACAGGACTAGTTTGAACCTGACTTGTACTGGATGTAGTTGCATGTCTTGTGGAAGCCTCTGGGAATGTTTTGCACCAAAATCTTTCTAAAAACTTTGAAGATCTCAATGAAGAACCTTTACATTGTTCAGTGTTATTAATTACTTTCTCCTCAACCGGCAAACAAAATCAGAAGCCTGTATGCAGTGCTACCCTCTGGGCTAAACTCGGCTGTACTCCTCCGGTCAAACGGCCTCCTCCACCTGCGTGATCAACTTCCCCTCACCACCTCACCACCACACCACCACCTCCGCTGCCTTTTGTTGTCCTAAACGGCAGTTAATCAGTCAAGCCATGGCCGTGTCGCGCAGCTGAACCCTGTGTAATGAAGCTAGTGCGCTCACTTATCAGCCATGCTTGAAAGGAAATTGCATGAGCGCGTGCTACGCACGAACACTAGCTGACCAGGCCTCGCCGCCGTGTGAGTAATAGTCGCCCTGTCAGCTTTGGCAGCAGGATAAATAGCGAAGCACGCCGGCAGATAACGTGTTAGCACGCTAATGCTAAGTGTGCAAGGAACCCTTCCTGCTCGTTAACGTTTATCAGGCTGTCAAGAGGCGGGGCCTCAGACCCCACACTGAGTGGGAGGAGCTTCAGAAGGCCTAGACATTAAAAACAGGACTTTTTTCATGATATCTAATATACAACACTACATGTAGTTGAAATGGATGCAATGCTTTGACAAAATAGCTCCACATTAAGTGGGAATTCCACCTATTTTTCAAAATAATCATATTTGAGATGGAAATAAGGTCATTCAGAGTGACGATGTGAAATATTTTATAGAGGAGAAACATACTGACTTTACAAATACAGCCATTTTATTTACTATCCAAAATCTATGTTTTCCATAATGCTGCTGATGGTAAAATACCGGTGAATCCAAAAAAAACATTTTTTTGGAGACAATTTTTCCTTACAACATTCTGCATGTACCTCTCTGCCATAAATGGCTTAACAATAAGTTTAAGGACCAAAATCTTCTCAAAACTACTGTAAAATCATGTTTCAGGCATCCACCAACACATATATAATCTTTTCATATAAAACATTATGTGATTTAGAGACGGACGTCTGGTTCCTATCACCACCACTGTGAACAATTCTGACTCAGCAAGTTTCTCTAGAACAAAGTATTTCACACCAAACCACTCTGAAGGACTTTGGAAGAAGTATTATGATGGGCAGTTTATGCAGCTATGCTGGCTGGTGTGGTTTACAGGCCGTCTATGATATAAACTACTGGTCAAAGGTTTGGAATCACTTGTTATTCAATATTCAATATTCGAATTTCATTCACAATATATGGAATCTGGGGTACAGTGAGAAGTTATGACGCAACAAAAATAAATATCATGATGTTATTAAATAATTGAATGCAATTATCTATTTATAGTCACATCTTTATGAAAAATTAGTATAAATAGCTATTTGATCAGCAGCATTTGGTCGCTGCTTTTCAAATACGAGGCATTTTGGTTATAAATTTTATAATAAGTTTGTTCTCAAAACTGCACAGCTTTCTCAATTATTATGAAAGCAACAGCTCTGTTCATCAGCACAAACGTCAATTTTACAGCTTCCTACAAACTGTTTGAAAGTAACAGACTAATAGCATCATAGATTCATTCAGTTCATTTATCTGCAACAAAATTGGTTTTATGTTAATGAAAGCAGTGATTCCAAACTTTACTATACACTCATGATGTAATATCACAATAACGCTACGTTGTTCACCCCCACTCAGGATCCCAGACACACTGAGAGGAGGAGCCTAACTGGTACAAAGAGCCAGAGCCAGAGCCATTGGTCCGAGAACAATCAGCATGTTCATTAAAAAAATAACATGTAAAACATCAAACATGCTGTGATAAACACAATAAGTACAATATTGGGTCTTTTCAGTACATTCGTGCCGTGGAGATGTTCAGGAAAAGCCTATAAAACGAGTGGCCTGTACAGTTGGGTTATTTCCAGACCAGTTTCCAAATGCAGCAGGTTAAAAGAATACTTTGCCTAAAAATAGGCCGTTAATGAAAGCCAGGTAGGTTCTAGCACTCTGGAAATGACCTCCACTAACTTTAATTCACTGTTATCCTATTAGCATAGGATAAAATATCCTCAAACTTCCACTCAGAGCTTCAGCATCAGTCACTTCTCGGCTCTGCTGTTGACCACAGGGTCAATCAGAGCTTGGTTCTCCTCACACAGCTGGAGTTCATGCAGGAGTTTGATGACATTGTCTGTGTATTCGGTCCTCTGTTTGTCCATTCCACTCAGTCTGACGGGGTGCAGGCTCGTGTGGGGCGGCTCGTACGCCGCGGGACAGCACAGCTCGCTCAGCGTGAACCAGCACGCGTCCGGATCCACCTGCATCAGATGCCGGAAAACACTGCAGGCAAAAAACAAAGCATTTGTGTTATGACCCAGGCTGTCCAGGCTGTGTTGGGGTTTGGGCCAACATTTCAGGCCTGATTAAAGATTTATATCAGATGCATAAACTTTGGTGACAGTGTTTGTGACAGTGCTACGTTCAGAATCATCCCAAAGGTATTTTATCCCCTTGTAATGATATCAGCACTCATCAGCCCTTAAAACTTTCAGGTGTTTAAACCACCTTTGGGCCAAAACACTTTCAATATTTGCTTTTGGTTTGTAAAAGGAACTCCTACTCTTGCAAAACCTGCTCTTCATACCTACAAAGGCACTTTGGTGAACATCTACTCAAATGATTAATAAATATCTGTGTTACTGTGCTAACAAAACTTTCGCAGGTTTTTTCTGACAGTGAGAAAAGGCAAGGTGTCCATACATGTGATAAAACATACAACACAAAAACAGAAAACTACACTGGCTGCTTCTCTTACTTCACAAAGTGAGTGCGAGTGTTAATTAGGACTGTTTTTCCAGACATAGTCTAAATTACAAGGTCAGTGGTGATTCTCCATTGCAAATCCTTTAAAGTAGAGGACTGGACTTAATCTCTTAATCCAGGACGCTGCCCCATGGTGCTCCTCATTAGGATTATGTTGAATGAATGAGCAGAACGGGTCTCAGTTAAATCTACAAACTCTTTTCTTGTAAGGAAATGGAGTATGGTTATTTGAATATGTGAATATTAGGGATGTGCACGGGTCCTCAGGCACTCGGGTACTCGGTTAACTGGTGCCAGTATTCGAATACTGAAATCACTATTGGTGTTTTTGGTTTAAACGAGAAGCATTATGTAAACGAGAAGTGTTATGTTTGGAGAAAGGAAAGAACACTGCATTCCAGCATAAAAACCTTATCCCATCTATGAAACATGGTGGTGGTAGTATTATGGCAACAATTACTTTATCTCAATTTTACTAAAAAGTAGTGATGTAAAATCTGTGTTTTCCTATTTAATTGTGGAAAAAGGGTCTTTTACTTTGAAAGGACAATACTTTATGACATCACATGACCAGGTCCTCTCATTATGATTTATTAATTTCCAATATTTCTAAATATTGGGTCGTACATTTCCACAAGGAGAAGTTGGATTTGATTGATGTTTTTAGAGAAAAATGAGATTTTATGGTGCTTTTTTTTTTTTAGATTTTATGGTGCTATGGTACAATTGCGCATTGTTGCCATATGGCAACAATTTACTAAATATCCCACTTTTAAAAAATAAATAAATAACTTTTTTCAAGTATTTCCATTATTTAAGAAATTTTAAATAACAAACACACAAACATTTTATCATGTTTAAGTAATAATGCAGGCAATAGAGGGTTAAGAATAATTGAGAACTACATTACAATATATACAAAAATACACTGCAAGTTGTCATTCTGCAGGTAAACTGGTAGTGTGTTAAATCGCACACACACTTAACATGCAAAGATAAATCATGAATAAATTAATATTTAATTTTGTGTAACATAATAGGTATTAAAGTACTGCGCAAAAGTCAGAGACCACCTTTATATATATATTTCCAGTAAAAATGGCCAATTAAGCACAAGTTATTCATTTTTCAGCATTAGGAAAAAAGCAGAAAACATATGTATAAGAGAACATTACACAGAAACATCAGCAACTGCATATAATATCAGATTTTTTTTTCTGTATTTACTGTTTGGAGCCTTTTTTTCAAACCTCTAAAGTTCAGTCTTAGAAGTTGGTTACACTTACAGCTTCTCACAATCCAAGTAATCCCAAACACATTCAGTCTGGACTCTGGGGTGGTCAGTCTGTTGTTCTGAGAACACCAGCAGCTTCTTTGTTTGATATGCAAATTTTCTTTTTTTTTTTTATCTGCTTCTTTTTCTCAGTAAGAGCTTCTTGAAAGCTACACATCCTTTCAGACCCATAGCTCTGAGTTGTCCTCTTACAGTGGAAGGATGGACAGAAACACCTGCGGATGTTTTCAGATCTGAAGCAGTTTGATTTTCTCCTCTCTCTCAAAGATGAAAGCTTTAAGTGCTGTTTATCTGATGGGGGCAGTTTTGGTGCCTATCAGGTCTTCCAGGTGGTTGTTAGGAGCCTCATTTTCTCTATTTCTTAGAATTTCATACCATTTTTTCTGTTTTTTTTTTCCAGTTATTTTCCTTTAACTTTCTCCTTCCTTATGCAAGTGGATTATCTTACATCTAATATTCTCAGAAATATATTACTAAAGATGAACACCTTGTACTTCATGGCTGTTTTGTTTGGAAATGATATACATGAAGGGTGGTCTCAGACGTTTCCACAGTCTACTACAGTTGCCATATCTGTATACTATTTGTTTAAACACTGCAGATAGCTGAATGGCAGAAATGGTTAAAGTACCCGTCCCTATTAGGAAATAAGGGATTTTTCTTTGCCCGGCTGCGTCTGCTGTCAGGAATCCCCTCTGCACTGCGGTTTCTTCTGTTCTAACACAACTGGCTCGACTCGTGCTGGAGCTTCATAATTAGTTACCTCGTGGAATCAGGTGTGCTGTAATGACTGAAAGCTTGCAGTGAGCGTCTGAAAGTGTGCAGCGCATGGGCCCCCCAGGACCACAACTCGGAATCACTAACGTAGGCAACTACAAGCTCCCCACAGCAACTCAGCTAGCTACATAATTAGCCTGGCAGCTTACCAAAGACGGGAGGTGCACAGCAGCGCTCAGAGTTTGACAATTGAGAAGAGGAACCGCCAAAAACGGCACAGCAGAGACACTCAGACAACAACTGAACCACCTATACAAGTACAGAGTATTACACTACACAGCATAAACAGTACTGTTAAACACGGTCACATATAGACTACATTAGCAGGCTGCTTTTCTCACAAGAGAATATACGTATACGTACTATATATATGTATACACACACACACACTGATCGGGCATAACATTACAACCACCTCCTTGTTTCTACACTCATTGTCCATTTTATCAGCTCCACTTACTATATAGATGCACTTTGTAGTTCTACAATTACAGACTGTAGTCCATCTGTTTCTCTGCATACCCTTTTACCCTGTTCTTCAGTGGTCAGGACCCCCATGGACCCCCACAGAGCAGGTACTATTTGGGTGGTGGATCATTCTCAGCACTGCATTAACACTGATGTGGTGGTGGTGAGTTAGTGTGTGTTGCGCTGGTACGAGTGGATCAGACACAGCAGTGTTGCTCCTCCGACACACGCAATCGACCCTCCATGCAGCGTAAAAGGCAACGGAACTCATTGGACCTGGTGACCTTCTTCCATTTCCAAGGCCAGTAGTGATGCTTGCATGTTAACTGACAGCCTCCATTGCACTCGCAAATAAATGAGCCTTGGTTGCCCAAAACCCTGTCACAGGTTTGTGGTTTGCCCCTTCTCGGACCACGTTCAGTAGGTGCTCACCACTGCTGACCGGGAGTACCCCACATGCCTTGTCAGTTCAGGGAATGCTCTGACATCTGTCCCAGTCATCTGGCCATAATGATTTGGCCTGCCCATGAAACGCCTGCCCATTTCTCCAGTGTCCAACTATGAGATCTGACTGTTTGCATACTGTCTAATGTATCAACGTTAACTGCAATCAGTGTTAATTGCTTTATCTGTAAGCGGTCGTAATGTTTTGGCTCGTTGGTCTATAACATGCAGCGGTGTGCACAAAGCTTTCTTTGAGTTCCAGCAGTGAAATGCATTTTTACCTGGTTTACAGAAACAACAGGCAAATTATGAATTTGTCTGGAGTCGGGACACCTGAAAGCTAAGCACGGGACGTCTGGTCACTGGAATAATTCTCTGCCATCACTGTATCAATTCATTATTAATGAAATATGAGGGCGGCTGGGGACGTCGGCTGCAGTGAAAGTTCTGTGAGGTGATATTTGTGTGGAAAGCCTGCACACCTAAATGTCATTTCAGCAGCATTTGAAATTCAATGAGAGTCGGCGGGATCTTCATCTCTCGCCCACGAGCCCGTCTGAGTGTGTGCGCGAGTGTGAAAAGGGTCTGCTGAAAAGAAATGAGTGTATCAGACGGACTCTCAGGAGATTTGAATGGGTTACCTCAGGCAGGCCTCCTGCAGTCTGATTGGCTGCCGGCAGCTCAGGTAAGGCAGACAGGCCTCAGAGATGTGGTCCAGATCAGAGTCCACTGAAAATAACACACAACACAGATCCACGTCAATGATGATGACTGTTTTAGTAACAAAATATACATTAAAAGGCCATAATATGATAGTAACTTTATTTTTTTGGGGCTGTAATAATGTGACACATAAATCACCCACAGTTCTGAAATCAAACACAAATAGTAGATATTAAGCATTTCTAAACATGTTATAAATGCTTAATGCACAAAGAAGACTACAACTCAATTCAAAGGACAGTTACGCTCCACTGATTAGTGGACAGTGAGATGAGTCCGTCCTGAGGGGAAGACTGTAATTGGGCTATTATTTGGATAACGAGCGTGCTAATCGTTTGGTCAAATTTAATTAAAGATCGTATCACAATTAACTATCAGACGAACTTTTATGAAGCTTCGGTGGTTTGAACTATGTTGGAATGATGAGAGGATTCACAAGAAAGACAGATGATAAAAGACAGAAATGGAGAGAGAGAGATGGCCTGAAAGACAGAGATGGGGAGAGAGAGAGAGAGAGAGAGAGAGGAGAGAGAAAGAGAGAGAGAGAGAGAGGAGAGAGAAAGAGAGAGGAGAGAGATTAAGACAAAGAGAAAAAGAGAGGACGAAAGAGGGAGAGACTGAGAGAGAAAAAGATGTGTGTGTGTGTGTGTGTGTGTGTGTAACTAAACGCTCTGTAACTACGGAAAAATGAACTTGTGGGTGGAACAGATTATTTGCACTGAATTGAACTGAACGAAGGACAGAGGGGGAGAGAGAAGAGAGAGACAGAAAGAGAGAGAAAAAAAGAAAGAAGAAAAAAAGAGAGAGGGAGAGAGAAAGAGCGAGAGAGAGATGGAGAGAGAGAGAGAGACAGAGAGAGAAAGAGAGAGTGAGAGAGAGAGAGAGAGAGAGAGAGAGAGAGAGAAAGAGAGAGAGAGAGAGAAAGAGAGAGTGAGAGAGAGAGAGAGAGAGAGAAAGAGAGAGAGAGTGAGAGAGAGAGAGAGAGAGAGAGAGAGAGAGAGAGAGAGAGAGAAGAGAGAGAGAGAGAGAAAGAGAGTGAGAGTGAGAGTGAGAGAAAGAGAGAGTGAGAGAGAGAGAGAAAGAGAGTGAGAGAGTGAGAGAGAGAGAGAGATGGTAACGTATCTGGTGAACTTTTATTTTTGACCTTTCTGAATTTCTCTATTCGCCTCTCACTGCCAGCTGACTCTCATAACCATGGAAACTCCCACTCTTTCTGTGCCCCCCTCCCGCCAATCCCCCCAGTCCCCACCCACCAGTCTATCAGTATTCCCTGAGCTGAGGTTCGGGGTCACCGCTGAAATCTAAGAGTGTGACTCTCTCACTCTGCCAGCCTCCCACTCGCTCCAGCGCTACGTTCTCCCAGAGCTTATTTCAGTCGGCTGCTCATTACGGACTATTTTAGCACCTTCCAGCCTTTTCTTCACCGAAACAAAACAGTGGAAGGGATCCGGCGTCTCTGGAGGTCAATAATTAAAATTCATTACAGGCCGAGCCAGTAAACAACTCTTTCAGCCGTGGCCCACCTCTGCCGGCTGGAGGAGGCTTCAGTAAAGCGGACCTTTTTTCAAAGGCCCCCCAATCTTTCTTTTTCTCCCAATCATTTATCTCTTTCTCTCCTATCTCTCTATCTCTCTCTCTCCATTCCTCTCCACAGTAGTCAGGACTGTGTTGCAATGTTGCCTGGAGGCAGAAAGTAGGCAGTTAGCGAGGAGGTTAGCAAGAGGCTAGCGGTGGCTCTCGACACCGGGGGCTGCCTGGAGAAAGAGAAAGGCTTTAAGATGGACGCCCTGATAGAGCTGTCAGGAAAGGCAGTGCTGCTCCAGCAGTAACAGGTCCACAGGCCCACTGGAACAACATTTAGATGCACAGACAGTGTTCACTGCAGCTGCATACAGACACGATTCACTCAAGTGTGATGAGAGTCTGCCATCTAGTGGAGTAATGCCATCACTACAGCAGGTTAATAGGTTATGAGTGCATTCCAGTGCATTAGCCCTGTCAGCAAAAACCAAGCACGTCTGGTCACCAGCAAAACCAGTTTTGGATACTGGTATGGTGATCAGCAGAAATGGAAGCTGATGTGGTGATCAAAATCAGCATATGTTGTGTTTTAGACATTGGTCAACCAGCATGACAGTACTAGGTGACCAACTAAATAAGCATTAGACCAGCATAACCCAGCTGTTTTTTTCCAACAGGGAGGTCATTAATTTACTATTTAAATTCTTATTGGACCTATTTTCTGGGTACCGACGAAGACTTGAATTCCAACTGATATACCATGGCCTGAATTCATAACGCCACTACTACTGAATCTGCCCTCCTTCAAGGATGCTGGCCATTTTTTCTCAGTTCCATCAGTTCACAAACAATTACAGAACGTTGTTAAAAGGAAAGGTGATGTAAGTGGTAGACTAAACCTGTCCCAACTTTTATGAAACATGCTGCAGGCATCAAATTTAGAATAAGCATGTATATACAAAAAAACTATAAACTTAACTTGTTGAAACAATCAGCTTGTCTTTGTACTGTTTTTAACTGAATACAAGTCACATCATTTGCAAATCACTCTTTTCTGCTTTTATTTACATTTTACCTACTGCCTCAGCCTGAAATTGGGTTTGTATTATGGCTTTTTGTGGTATTAATATGGCTTAAGTTTGACGAAATTGAAGTAATGAGGTAGAATCCACCCCAAATTCCAGTCTGAAGTGGCCTTTACATACTCATAGGCTTCATTAGCTGATCAGTCAATCAGGAGTGTTTGAGCTGAGAAAACATCAAATTCCAAATCCAACCAGCCAACAAGACTCAGAGCAATAAACCGTAAGCAATAACTATCAAAAAAAAGATTCAAAACTGACAATATTGATATATCATCAATACTGGTGGTCCACATTACTGTCAATAACATTAGTACACTATTCTGTTCCTTGATCTTGGAAAAATGCACCATGCATCATACAGTCCTCCATTCTTTGTGTCACAGTTAACAGGAGCAGTGCAGTGAGCACCTACCCAGATCCAGACGCACACATAGGGGTCCCAGACCCTGCAGCACCGCCAGCTGCAGCTTGTAGGCGAGTGTGTGGGTGTAAAGCGGGCCAGAGCGGGCGCTGGTCTCGGCCTGCCGCGAGAGGGCAGAGGTGAGCCTGGGCAGAACCTCTTTAGACACACGTTTCCTCAGGAAGTCGCCACACGTCTCTCCCAACACACACAGCACCTGCAGAAAGAGGGGGAGGGGGGAGAGAGAGAGGCAGGGAGTGTGAGAGTAAGAGAGTGTCCACTGTGCAAATACTCTGCTTCCTCTTGATGAGCCTCGCCGTGTCTGTCTACAATACAGGATGTAAAAGAAACCAGTCAAGAAATTATGGATTTCGAATACTATACTCAGGCAACTCTCATAAACATGGTTCTAAAAAAACAGACCACTTGAATTACATATTTATGTGAGGCTTGATAGACTTGGCGTTGAATTATTACACATTTATTTTTTGTCTATTTATAAAACAGCATCTAATCACAGGCTTTCCTGCTCAAATCCACTATTAAAACAGATTAAAAGAGCACCGTGAACAAATTTAGAAAAGCTTAAGTGACCTATATGCTGGGAGTTTTGTCTGGGACTCGGTGGGGAGATCAGGGGGAAACAGAAAAATTTCTTTTAAAAATCTCTCAACACAAAAGACCAACATCATTCTTTCTCTGCCGGTTCATTATAAAAACACCACAAAACCTATAATTAGTGTATTAAGCAGGATCCATCAGAATGTATCACTTAAAAGGCAAAATTCTTTGTTCCGCAGTCCAAAAAATTGTTTATCTTTAATCAGAACGTCATGCTTCAAAAACATCTTCTGAGATTTGATTGCATCATCGTGCACCAGTGGGGAAAAAGTGATATTAACCAATAATATCACGTTTCACCTCCCCCTCCCACCCACCTATCATCGAGAGTAAACACTCAGCTAGCTCAGAAGAAAAGAAAGAAAATGCACTATGATTTTCATTTCAATAGAAGCAGATAAAGTTTTCAGCTGAGAACTTAAATCCAACCCATTTACAACAGTTAAGATGCTGAAGTTTCTTGCTTTCAGTGCCTTAATGTCGTCTCACATTAGGAGGACAGTCTTTGATAAAAATAAATAAACACACTGAACTGTTCATACCCTGAAAGCTCGCGGTATCGCCAGCGGATCGTCATTGGTGAGGCGTTGGAGGAGCACAGGCCAGCAGCGGTGCACCATGGGTAAAAGCTCATTCTCGGTCTCAGACAGTACGTACACACACAGCTCCACAATGTCCAGCACCTGCAACCCACAAATGCAAACAAATAATGATGACATGTTAAAGGGGAATTCCACTGATTTTTCAAATTTTCTTCATAATTAATTCTTCTTCATTTAAATAAAGTCATTCAGAGTGGATTGGCATGAAATGCTCCGTTACAATGGTTACAAATACTGTGCGTTGCCTGATGCCTGAGACATTGTTTCATAACAGAAAGAAAGAATTTGGCCTAAATCAAACATATTTTTTAAATTATTATGGTGGAGAGGTACTATTTTACCATCACTAGTATTACATTAAAACTCAGACGGCACATTTAGGTTCACTTGTGGTTCTGGATAGTAAAAATGGCTATAAAATGGCTTTATCTGCATTGAAGACACTGCAGCCCCTGGTTCCTATCACCATCACTGTAAAGAAATTTGAATCGATACATTTGTCTGTTTATTCACATCTCAACAACTGAATTATGTTTGAGATTTTCACCCAAGCTCAAATTCAACAAACCTGCTACTTTTTTTTTTTTACAATGAAATAATTACACTGTAAAGACAGCGATGAAAATTGAAGGAGAATTCAACCGATGTTTTCAAAATTTGTGCATAATTAAATGGTTAAGATGTAAATCTCCACCTTCAGGTTGACGCATCATCATTGCCATCAATGCATTTTTATACTTCTGCTGAATTTCAATTTAGGAATAGCAGCATTAAAGTAACACAGAGACTAACGCTGTACCTTCAGTCGTGTTCCTATGCTGGGGTGCGACAACAAGTGAACACAGCGCTCCATCACGTCTTTAGCTACAGAAACGTGCACGGGCAGCTCCGGCTTTACATCAGGACCTTCCTCCAATCCACTGTGATCCTCACAGCCCGGGGACTACTGGAGGCATCTCTGTAAAGATAGGCATTAATAACAATACTATAGTAAACAGACTTACATTTTGATGGATCAAATGGCATCTCAATTAGCACATTTGAATTTTTTTAGCTGAATGTTTGTGTGAAAACACTAGTTATGAGTTGACCACATGCTGTAAACCAAGGATGTCCAAACCTTCCATCTTAAGGAGCCAGAGTGTAATGTTTTATTACTAAAGGTACTTTAAAAAGTTGTATAAAATACATATTCTTTCAAACAATTCTGTCAACTTTGGCCTCACTTCGGTATAGACAAAAATAGACTGCACTAATACACTACATAAAAATTCTGGGACTTTTATGCTGATAGTGGGAATCAGAGAGGCTACAAATAGTTGGGGTGCTTCAGTGTCTTGCTTAAAAACAACCCTAGAAGGAGAAACTAATACAATTCAATATCTATATATTCAAAAGCAAGTGAAAACATGCCTGAAACACTTCAATAATTCACTCTGCAGAAGCTCAAACCTGCATCGCTGGGGTCTTCCTCATCAGCACCGATCCCCTCGGCCAGCTCCTTCTGCTTTTTGTAGTCCAGGAGAAACTGCCGCAGGTCAAGTGGCTCGGGATGCTGGCTGTGTGGGACTCTAGGAGGCTTTATGTGATCTTTAGCACTTGAAGAAAACCACCTCACTGCAATTAAAGACATGATATTAAATCTAACCAATTAAGGCTGAATATCGTCCACAAGGGGTTAAAGTGCTTTTTACTTTGTATAAGAAAGAGTCAGGAGAACTCACCCATTGCCTTCATGAGTGAATGCAGTACTGTACAGAATTGCAGTGATCTCTGGTCGTAGCTCAGATCCAGCGCCATCAACACGTCCTGCACCACGTCAACCACTAGGGGCAGCAAAGTTGCATCTGAATGGGCAAACATGACGGCAAGAACTCGGGGAGCATGAGGGTGAATGCTGGGTCTGCCCAGGTTAAGAGATACATCGTTCAGCAGGTAGTCCACATTGCTGATGACCAAGTCCTTGGGTGAGCTGTAATTGCAAGCCACGCAAAGGTTGTGCATGGTGCCGAGAGCCGACTGGCTGACCAGGAGTGACTCATCTCCTGCTTTCTCCAGCACTGGGTAGAGTGAGGTCATTAGAAGCAGACAGAAGTCAGTGCCCAGGGCCAATGCGAAGGAGCCAATCCCCTCCAGCTGGATGCATATCTGCCAGATGTTGCTGTTCAGCTGATGGAGTGTTGGAGATCTGGGACCAATGCTGGAAGCTGGAACCAGATGCAGGCTCTTCCCCTCATGGCCACTCATGATAGCAGAGATTGGAGATGGACGTTTCTCCTGTTGCTCAATATCTGAGTGCTCCATTACAGTGGAGAGATGCCAATTATTCAAACTGATGTATTCCTCAACAATGGACATGACTGCAGACTTCAGGTCTTCATGGTTAGTTTTAGGATGGTTCATTCTAAAATTGTCTGTTCTAGAAGGTTCCATGTCTATGCCAATTCCTGCTGCCCCTGTGATAACCTCATTGAGAACCAGGGCAGCTTGCTTACGATAAGCCGAGGACTCCTTGTAGAGATCCAAAAAGTGGTCCACGAGTAAGTAGAGGTTTCCATAGTGACCTAACATCCGGCAAATCTGCTTCAATGCAGAGAAGATCTTGTCATCTGTAAAGTAGAGGAAGTACTTCCTCTGGAACAGTGCCTCATGAGTCTCCGGTCCCAGGTCCACCAAGGGTGCAAAAGTCCTTTCTTCTACAATCCTCACGTCTGAGACGTCCAACTCCAGCACCTGCATTAGTGCTTTGGAGATACGCTGCAGGTGTGCCGCTGACGTCAACACCAAATCTATCTGTGGTCCCAAGATCTTCAGGTACCCCAAGAAGACGTTGAGCACAAAGAGTTTGCGCTTGTCATCTGTCGTTCTCATGAGACGAGGCAGCGAAGACGCCAAGCCATGCAAGTTTTCTGACAGGACATCTTTGAGGGCCTGACCTCCATTAGCTTGGTTTCTTCTAGCTACTTCATCCAGAACTGCACTGCACCTCTCCTTGACTCTAGGTTCCTCATCATTGACTGCTCCTACCAGTGCTTCCAGAAGAGGACCAGTGCATCCTGCTAGAGACCTGCTGCAGTGGGTGAGGAGATAGTCTGAGAGATTGACCAGTTCCAGTCTTACTCTCCAGTGCTGGTGCGCAGAAGTACAAGAGATAATCCTCTGCAAAGCCAAAGTGAGTCTTTTGGAGGTGGCCTTGCTCCAAGATGGAGTCCTTTTCACCACCAGTTCTCCAACCCTCCCTAGTTCAGATGTGTCTACATTGTCTTTGCTAGCATTCTGAAGCTGGTCATCATCCATGACAAGTCCCACTGTTGTGTACCAAACTCGCATGGCTTTCACCGTAACTGCATGCCCTTGTCTTACATCTCCACCAATCACCTGACTCAAGGCACATGTGATTCCTGGGAGGAACGTGGCCAGAGCTCTACCAAGCATACGCCTCTCCTCTCCTTCTGGCTCCACGTGAGTTCTTGAACAGTCACACTGTATGAACAGAGAGAGGAGACACTTCAGAGCTGCTGTCTGCACCTCTCTGGCCTTCTCTTGCTTTGCTAGGGCCAGGAACAAGGACACAGCAGCTCCAAGTCCAGGCAGCATTGTTGGTTCATAAAGCTTAAAGACAACATCCCCATATGCAGAATGCAAGAGGGCATCCAGGCATCGCAGCACTGCCAACTTCAGCTCCTCTGAGGCTGGAGCTGGCTTTCCTGGGTCCGTGGGGGAACAGAGGCAAAGGCACAACTCAGAAAAGAGATCACGTAGAGATTCCCAGCTGTGAATACAGGTGTTTTCCAGAACATAGGCCATGGCCTCCATGGCTGCCTGCACGAGAGCCTCCCACTTGGGCCCAGGAGTCTTGAGGACAAAGCGGAGAGGAAACAGTACATAGTCCTGAAGCAACTGGAGGGTGCCATCACTAACAGCACGCAAGTGGCCGCTCAGAGCCTGTACGTTGCACAGGTTTGGCTCTTTGGTCAGGAGCACACAGGAGGGCCGCAGGTAAGCGAAAGCGATCTTCGGGTCGTCGATCTGATGATCAGCCATTTTCCATGAGTGGCCTGTTACAAATAATGGATCAACAGTCACATAGTCTCTAAAACAGGCTCACAGTCTACAATTTTGTTTGTCAGTTATTTTTCTCCTTACGTCTACTGATGAAGTTTGTGTGGTTTTACACGCCCACAGTAGGCATAATTCATTTTTACATGACTATTTTCCAAATTTTCCTCTCAATACACATAAACAAGCTCTGGCCTGACGCTCTCTTCTTACTAAAAGATGTTTGGGCTGAAAGACTCCTTATGACTTCAACATTAATGGGTGGGACTAACTGCTGTACGCTGATTTGGTGTGTGAAACGCATTCATTTTGTGACAACACAAAAACCATGGGACATTTTTGCAGCTTAGCATCCATTCAATCTCTAATTGGCAGCTGGGCAACATTAAATAGCAACCAATGGCAGCTGCCAGTCAGTTGGATGGCGGCAGCCAGTTGGCCAGTGGCAGCTGCCAGTCAGCGGGTGGCAGCAGCCAGTGGTAGCAGCCAGTTAGTGGATGGCAGCTGCAAACTGAATGTATAGCAGCAAGCATATAAAGGCAGCTTGCAGCATGATGTAGCAACCAATGGCATCTGCCAGTCAGCTGGTGGCAACTGCCAGTAGTTGGGTGGCAGCGCCAGTGGCAGCAGCCAGTTGGTGTGTGGCAGCTGCCAGTCAGACAAGGGGCAGCTGCCATTCAGCCAGTGGCAGCAGCCAGTTTTTAGATGGTTCTTAGATGGTTGTTCTGTAGTTTTATCTACTACATCAAACTATTTCATTTTAAAAAGCAGGGAGTTTTATTCTTATATCATTTCAGCCCTTTAAATGTTGGAAACGGTGTGTTTATCCACACTGAAGACTTATGACTAGAATGAATCACATTCATTTAAATTAGAAATACTAGAGAAAGAGTATAAATGACCAGAATAGAAAGTTTGGAGACTTATATAATGAGCTTTTAACGTGATTTCACCTTTTCCACTAGTACAGTGAAGCTTTTATTAGGCACGTCCTATTAAATCGTGCTAATCTTCACTGACATGTTACTGAAGTGCAGTTTACTGAGGCTGTGTTTGTTAAACTGCCTATATGAGGACTCACAAAGGTGGCGCTGGCCTAAAGCTGTAGCTACAGATCAGAGAAAATTAAAAACATCACAGATTTTATTTTACCTTCAGTCTAGTAGGTCTACCACAGCGAAGTCGGTCTCATTTTCTGCGTTACTGAGAAGTAAATCAGCTCTGTTTCATCGAGTGTACGAATCACCCATCGTGTAGCTCCCGGGTTCAGGTCGATGTCACTATTACGCGACGGCTGGGCGCGCTCCAATCCGCGTACTTGTGCCCTAACTCGAGTGCATTTAACTCTGGGCGCCATTGCGAGTGTTCTCCAGAGTCGTTAGTCCACAGCTTCGAGTGTGCCGTAATGTGATTCGGACACTCGGTTTGGCTTTTAAACATTAACATAATACATTATACGTTAGCATAACCACAACAGACGAAAAATTAAGAACTCCTTTTTGGTCCAGGGGTCGGTGTGGAGTCCAAATCCCGCTCTGGAATCGCGACATGAAGACTTCATCCCTAGTTGCCTTTCTGGAAGTTTGCACAACTTCCTCAGTAACACGCGTTGCCGTCTTTGCAGGCCCGGAGAAAAACAGCGTGCAAATCTGAGTTTTAGGACGCGAGAAGCACCTGATCTGCCGCGTTAAGCGCCCTAGTTAGTGCACATGTCCGCGGATTGGAGCGCGCCCGCGCTTCACAGCGCTCAGCAGTGCACTGAACGCCGTTAAGGCGCGACGGAGGCTGTGTGTTTGTTTACTGCTAAGCCGCCTGTTCAGCGAAAGTTCTGGACTAAAATGCGGATTCCTGCAGAATAACGAGCGGAGAAACAAGCACCATTCACCGGTCGTGTAAACGAACAGCTCACACCGCCTTTACAGCAACTTTACTGGAGATTTCGGACTGAGCGCGTGGTCGTTTGAGGAGCTGGAAAAGACTTCGCCCCCCGCCCGGGCCACCAGCTTAGCTTAGCTTAGCTTAGCACAGCCTAGGCTGCACTAATCCTTGCTTAGCGTAGCTTAGCTTAGCACAGCACAGCCTCGCTGTTGGGACTGGGTCTCCGCTCAAAAGGTCAGTTGCTCCAAAACTGTGTGGTTTCGCTCGAAGCTGAAATGCTGTGTGTTGTGAAAGAGCCGTTATGAATCAGTGCTCAATTTAAAACTGGTCGGTTCAGCTGACGAGGCTCCTTAACTTCACTCGCTGCTAAGTGACTGAAAGGGGAATTCCACCAATATTTCGAAGTGTCTGCATAATAAGATCGTTGTGATGTGAACAAAGTCCTTCTGCGGAGACCTTAAAGTGACGTTGTGATTATTTTTTAATAAGGCGTGGCCACTAGTTACTATATTGATGCTTCGAGTTATTACCTTGAACCCACAAGTGAATATATTGAGGTCACAATTTACTATACTGAGGCCACAGATCGCTATTTTTGAAGCCACAAATTACTATACTGAATCCATGACTATGAAAACTTAACTTGTGGCCTCAATATATTAATTTGTGGTCACATCTTATTAAAAATATTCACCGTGTCAGTTTAGGGGCTTCATATTATTCAGAGCAGCTTGATGTAAAATTCTTATGAAGGTCAGTTCGCAGTGGTGGTGATAGGAACCAGACGTCTGAAGAGTTTAATGCCTTTAAAAGCTCCCTTCACAGAAAACTGCTGCACAAATATGGTTACCAACACGTTACGTTAATGCCTGATGCATAGTTTGAAGACAGTTTGCAGATCAGGTTTTGGGCTAAACCTTATTGTTGTTGTTATTTTTAATACCATTCATGGTGGAGAGATACACAGAGATCTTTCTAAGGACAAATAGTCCCCAAAAAAAGATTTAACACCATTTACCATCATCTACATACATATATAAACTCAGAAGATACATGTAGGTTCACTGGTGGTTTTGGATAGTAAATAAAATGACTGTATTTGTGTTGTAGACATGGTGACCCCTGGTTCCTATCACCACCACTGTAAAGAAATCAGAGGCACCACTTTACATCAACCACTCTGAATGACTTTGTGTACATCTCATTACATTGCTCCTCTTCAGGTGGCCAGTTGCAGCAGTGGCAGGGGTCCTTTTTCATAATCCCGTTTTCTTGACTGCTGTTTACAGTGGCGGTTGGTAATCCTGTATGTGTTTTGGACATGAAGACTCTCAGTCGTCTCTTTTAATTATAGCATCATTACCTAAGCAGCTGACTTCACCACAAGCAAAGCAACAACCGTGTCGCTGCTGATAGCAGAATAAGTTGTCGTTTGTTGGTGGTCAGCTTGTGGATTTTTACTTGAGATGTGTTGTCCTGTTCAGGCAGCTCTCTGACTACGAGATGTGTTAACTTGGTTGAAGAGGAAACCAAGAAGAGCCAGAAGCCTCTCGAGACGTTTTCTGTGGATCTGCGATTCGGGATCATGTCTTCCTTTTCCGAATCCGCCCTGGAGAAGAAGCTGTCCGAGCTCAGCAACTCTCAGCAGAGCGTTCAGACTCTGTCTCTGTGGATCATTCACCACCGCAAACACTCGGGCTCCATCGTGAGGGTTTGGCACAGAGAGCTGAAGAAAGGTAGGTGCAGAGGTGGGTGGAGTAGCTTAAACAGCCCTCAGGTAACACTGTTACATCATTTAAGCAATGAATGACGCAGAAGTCAAAGGCACTTCTAAAAGCCGAGAAGTCCTCGAGTACTGAGTTCTCTGTAGAGCTGCAGAAGAACATCAGCGTATCCATCAGCTTAGGAAGAGACGTTTGTTAGGCTGTTTTCCGTTTGAATTTTGTTTGTATAAAATAAAATGATGAGCTACAATAAAGACGTCCAAAAACTGTCACCAGCACAATGAAATTAACCCTCCAGAAAAGAATTAGGACCAAAATTAGAACATTGAGCTGAGAGAAAAACAGAGTCTTTTCCTCACAAATAGAACTGATTATGCTCCGTCGCTCAAAGGTTTGGAGTCACTTGGCATAATAATAATTTTTGTTGCTTTATGTACAGTCGTAACTTATACAGCGTGGATTTAAATATGAAAAACTATTCAGCTAAAGCTGTTTTCAGGTGCTTTATTCAATATTTTAGGACTTCTGTACGCAAGAATAAATATATTTAGCTGCTGTTGGAAGAAAACCTTGTATCTCCATTTCTGTCGTTTTTCAGTTTTTGACATAATTTCAAAATGCCTGTTTCCCTTCACATTGTGTGTAAATTTCGTGATGAATGGACCAAAAGAAACAGCCTAAACTGACTTAGAAAAAAGTTTGGTTCCATTGACTTACATTAAGAGCAAAGTAGGTTTTTTCCTTCTCCTGTAAAGTTACCATTTTGGAGATACAAGGTTTTGATCCGACAGCAGAGATTTGTAAATAATGTACTGTAATTATCTATTTATATTCAGTTTCTGGTAAGATATATATACCTTGAGATTTGATAAGTAATTTTGAAATGTGTTATATTCTGAATATTAATTTTTTATGGTTCTTTTTTTGATGTTATGCAGCTTTTTCCAATTTCTTGTGATGCATCTAACATTTCTCCATTTTCATGTACAGCTTTTTAATGCCCTACTGTCTTTTAAAACCTGTGATGTTGTACAGGACCAACATAGTAGAATCATTTTATACAGTTGCATATAACCAAATTGGTTTTAAATGGTTGATTCCAAACTTTTGAACAGTAGTAAGTAAAGGTGTTAGCAAGTAAATGGACCTGTTTACTACTCAGCTCTGTCCAAGTCATTCAGTTACTGTAGTGTTTGGTCACCCCGAACTTAAAGGACTGGTTTGGCTACTTTTGTACTTTTTGGGTACTACTCACCCCAGAGGCAGTGGATCAGCCAAGACATGCTTGGTGTTCAGATTTTAAGCATTTTGCTTCCTTAGTTTAGAACCAGAGCTGCCAGGTTAACAGTGCTAACAAACCCTGGAAGTGAATAGTCACCTAAACCCTTAAACTGTTTCCTCAAACACATGCCAGAATCTTCACATATTTGCTTCAGATTACATTGATAAACTGTGTAAAAAACACTGATGAAACAGCTTCCGCAGACCTTGTTTACACCTTTAAGGTAAAACTGGAACCACATTATCATCCACATAATGTCCTGTGCTGGAGGATGTTACTCAGTTCACTGGTGCGTAGCATTAGCGCCGTAATACCTATCTCTCGTTTACTGTAAGAGAGAGCTGGAAGTTGCATGTTGAATCGCGATAAGCCCATGATAAATAGGTGTTGCGATCCGTTTTGCAAAAACAGGAGAAATAAATCTACAGGAAGTCTAGTACGTTACCACCTACCATTCAGACACATGCAAACTGGGACTTTTAACAATGAACTAGCAAACAAACTGTAAAGAGAGGCGTTCAGTGAAATCTCTGTATTGTGGTGATGATTTTTCGCCTAACAATTATATCAAAGGTCTCCAGCGGGACGTTCTAAAATCTCTAGCTGTACCAGACACATGGTTCCAGATGACACTTCATAGAAGTAAATTTGACTAAGTGCTGTTGACTTTTTCTCTGTGTTCATTGTGCTCACTCACTGTCACTGTAACACGTAGCGAAGTGGACGAGGCTGAAGTTGGCTTAAATTCGATAACTTCTAATTTGAACTTCACTTCTAATTTGAATCTAATTTTCTGTCCCACCTTAATGGACCTTTTTCACAGTCACTGCGTCGTCACATCCGTCTGTAAATTGTAGCTTTATCGAACGTCCCCTTAACAGAGCGGCCATAGAGGGTCTCCAGTTTTCAGCATCCCTCAAAAATCGTCCTTTTGCCTCAGCTCGGTTAATAGAAGAGCAGTTTGCATGTCTGGTGGTTCCTCTAACGTGAGCAGAAAGGCTAATCTAACGTGGCTGAAGCACGTCGCGCAAAACTTAAACATTTGCTGCTGTGGACTGTTTTACCGCTGTGCGGAGCTCAGGTGCAGCCCGGTAAACATAGTATACTGCGGCAGAGAACAGAGCCGCACACCTCCGTGTCAAACCCTGAGACGGTTTTCCAAAGCGGAGAAGGAGCGGAGCAGATTATTATGTTCAACATTACACATCCCTAAACAGCTCTGCACTCACTGCGCTTTATTTTGGAGAAAAAGTTCACCAGGTTTAGTTTTTCCTACTCGGTCCATGTGTCCATCTCCAGGGATTTAAACACAGCAGTGAGTGAATGTTTGTTTTGGAGCATTTTTAGTCACAAATGTGAGTAAATCTGTCCTTCTGTTTCGCCCGTTTTCACTTTACAGCTCAGTTTTCCTCCTTTTTTTATTTTGATCGGCTACCTCGTTAAATGTGACACAGGACGGGCGGAACTTTTCAGCTGAAGTTGAACATTTTTAAACTAATCGAGTGGAAACTCAGGTGAGGCTGTTCAGTTGAATTATTGGTGCATTAGGAACGCAGCAGTGATTTCGGGCAGTGTCAGCCATTGTGTACAACACAACCGGAAACTGTTTAACGGTACTATTTACTCTTCCGCATTAACGAACATGGAAGTGTGAAAATGGTCTATTGGATGGAATGAGTACGAGGCCTGAGTGCCACAAAGTAGCTGCTGCGCCATTTAAGGCAGAACAGAAAATTCAGATAAGGAGCAAACTTCAGCTTTGGGCTAAGAGGGGGTCCAGAGAGTCAGTGTTAGGATTAGGGTCAGGATCCATCTGATTCTGTTCTTTCTTCATGTATAAATCCATGGTCAAACATATATGATCAAGTCTCAGTTATGCAGAAACTGTGGTCCCCAAATTCATAATTGGACGTTTTATTGACTTTAGTGCACTTAGTTTCTCTACCTACATTATCCTGCAGTGCGTCTGTTTTGATATTGAATTGTGCTCAGAAAAGAAGTGATTCTGGTTGTTCTAAATGGCTGCCTTTCTTTTAGCTGCAGCTAACCTGAATTAAAGCATGGATGCAGTTTGGGACGTTTTGTGCATTTATTTCTGGAAACTGTTTAGGTGACTATTGATCTCCAGTCATTGTTAGCAACTTTAATCTTGCAGTTCAGTTCTAAACTAAAGAAGCACAATTTTGACACTGATTGTCTTGGATGATCAACTAAAATTAGGGAAAGTGGAACATCAAGTAATTTGCATTTCCACCAAACTCTTCCTTTAAGCAGCTTTTCAGACTAAAATGATGTACTGTTATGTAATTTGGGCTCTGTTTATTTCAGTGTTGCCCCCTGAGCTTCAACAAAGTGTTGATGACTGTGCAGCTTTAAAGTTTAGCTGTTTTTCAGTCAGTACTTGTGTAATCCAGGTGCACTTTGTGCTATTGACTGAGAGCTGAACAGCGAACATGACAGCAGAGAAACTGAGAGAGCTTTTATCTTCATGTAGTACATTCATAAGCAACTAACTGAAGTACAGTGTTTTTATTTTTTCAGTATTGTTAAAGTAATAATTTCTCTTTTTGTTCGTTTCTCAGCCAAAAGCAGCCGGAAGCTGACCTTCCTTTACCTCGCCAACGATGTGATTCAGAACAGTAAGAAAAAGGGACCCGAGTTCACACGAGATTTTGAGGGAGTCCTCGTTGATGCCTGCTCACACGTAGCAAGGTGAGCAGCCCATTGTGTCCCATTCACTCCTTTCTTTCTCACTTCGCTGATTCACCTGATTACTCTCATTCTGCTTAACTTCAATGTTATGGCATAACTGTCATGTTATTATCATTACAATGCAGACCAGGCGTGTCACAATTATTACACTATCATTTGACCAAATGAATCATTTAAGCTGAGGGCAATCGTTTTCCACAGCTAGATTTCACAATCTTATGTTTATATTGCAAAAAAAGTGTATTTTTCATCAGTTGGGGCAAATAAGTGTAAATGAAAGAATGCATTAAAGTGCGTTCATTAAGACAAGGGCTAGAACTATTGAATATTTTCATTGTTGAATGTTATTATTTCTTTATGAAACATTACCAATACACAGTTATTATTATTGCAAGTAACAAAATGGCAATACAGGGGGATCCTGCCTGATCTGGTAACCCTGAACCAGTGCAGGAGAGCAGATTAAACAGCATCTTTATATCTACATTTTATTAAAAACCACTGTGTACCTGAGCATGTGCTAAAATCAGCTGTATTAGTCTTAACGCCATAGTGAATCATCCAGTATTGCAGTCACATTCTTTTGCTGACCTTAACTCGACCTCGTCCGTGTATGTAGAGAGACAGATGACAGCTGTAAGAAGCACATGGAGAGGCTGCTGAATATCTGGCAGGAGCGCAATCTGTACCGCGCAGACTTCATCCAGCAGCTCAAACTAGCCATCGAAGACTCCAACAGCCCGAGACAAAGAAATACAGGTACGTTTCGCTGGGCACTCACACGGTATTTGTAGTGTTTAATATTCTCTGTGTTTATAGTAGAGTAACAAAGTTAGTGAGGCCTGTTGGAGTAAAAACAGGCTCAGCTTCAGATCTCAGATCACCTACACCAGCTTGTAGCGTTGGGGGTGGGTGATAAGCAGATTTGGATAGTACCGCTGTAGGGAAGCACTTGCCTTTCATTGTGCTGTTTTGCAATATGGCAAAAAGTACTATTGCAGTGCTTAAAGCCATTTTCTCCATAAGCAGCACATATCATGATGGTGTTTGTCCTGCTTTTCATGTCAGGTCTGTACATGGTACCATCAGTCCACAGCACTGGAGTAGAATCATCACACACAATTCTTTTTAGCAAAGATGAAACACTGTGCTTGAGTTTCATATCTTTTCTTGTCCCCTAGTCATGGGTACACCACCATATTTCAGTATAATCACCCTAAACTAATAACTGACTAAGAAGCTCTGTGATTAAAGCCTCCTGAGACTAGAAGCTCCAAGACTAGAGCTCACTTTGCCGCTGCTCGTCGCCAGCTTGCCTCTACTATCCGGTGCTATATCAATAAAAGTATCTGCACCAGACTTGGTACTTGAATTTAGTGCATGTTTACACTGAAAATAGATTGAGAATGTTATTTTGAAGAATGAGCTTATGCCACATAAAAACTGATAAAAGGAAAACATTAACCTTCCAGTTGCATGTTAATCTCATCCATGCCTGCTTAAATGTAAGAAGCACTGCAATGTTTTGTTGTATGAGGTTTGCTTTGTAAGGTGGATCGCACAACAATGCACCAGTATAACAGTAGTGCCAAATCATTAAAGAGCTGAACATCATTACTGTTTTTGTTTTGTTTTGTTTTTTGCCAATTCAACATGATAAGGTGTAAATAAATAGAATAATGCTGTCATGGGCGAATATCTTCCCAGCTTCTTGTCACTGTACATTTTACAATTTCAGGTGATATCACTGATGATTGTTAGTTCGCTACAGTTGGTCTTAATCTTTATTTTATGAGGTATGTTATGAGGTTGGTCAGTGTTCTAGTAATACTGGCAATACCTGTTTGTATACAGTATGATACTTCCAGTCAAATGGCATGTTTTGTTGATGTTTGAAGTGAAAAGAAGTTAACATGTCCTCTATGGGAAGGAAGCCTAAATATGCCATTTCTCTGCAAATATTATTGCATAATGCATAGTGTATAACTACTTATTTGCTGAGTTTAACAAGTTGGAAAAGGTACATGAGATATAAAATGTGCATTAACTTTTGCACAGGACACATTTTATGCTATTTTTCCCCAGTGTGTTAAATTCAGCACATAAACAGCAAGAGTGCATTAAAATATGCAGAAGTTTGTTCTCTGTGGAGGATGTGTTTAACTTGTTTATGCTTAGAAAATCAATGTCATTTTACCAGTGGTGCACAAACCTTTGCATAGGACTGGAAGACTGCATGTTTTACTGAACAGCAGCCTGTTAATGTATGTTAATATAGTGAATAGTGTCTGAATTTGTATCTTGTAGCAGATGAGAAAAAAAGCTTGAAAAGAAGTTTCCAGAAAGTTCAAGAAGAAGAAGAGGAAGAGGATGATGACGATGATTACAGAACTCACTATTCTCCCCGTGAAACAGATGCAGGTGGCCCACAGCTGGTATGGATGCGTCTTAATGCTTTGCTCTGGATGGTCAGGAAGGGAAAGTGACTGTAAATTGATTTTTATTCCTATTACCGTGGTTTAAAGCGGTCAGGTGCAGGACGTGAGTGTTCACAAAGAATTATGTGAATGGCAGGTTTGTGAGAGTGCTTGTTTTCTGTTGTGTCTCTCTTTGGCCAGACGGAGGAGCTGGTGAAGGCCCTGCAGGATCTGGAGAACGCTGCGTCTGGAGATGCTGCTGTCCGCCAAAAAATCGCCTCGCTGCCTCAGGAAGTGCAGGATGTCTCCCTCCTAGAGAAGATCACAGGTGAAGCTCACTGAGGACTCCCAAACAGGGTTTAATAAGTTAGGCAGGACTGCATGCTCCTGCACAAACCTACACACACCACACATTTGAAATTTGTTTGAATTGTTTTGCAGTGTTGCTATAAAGGTAAATGTTGTAGGTGGAAGATTCATGGAGTATGATTTAGGAGTATGGAGGTGATTGCACACACTATGTTCACACAGCAGGTAAAAGTGGCACAAATCTGATTTTCTCACCAAATCCGTTTTTTTTTATTTATTATTATTATTTGTTTTGTTTGGCTGTTCACATTATTTTTAAAATATGATCTGTATGCAACATTAGTCTAAAGTGATAATGAAGTCAGCTTATCGCCCGGAATGTGTTCGAGTTTGCATTTAAAAAGGCACGTTATTTGGCTGCGGTCACTTCTTTGGTTCGTGTCCTCGGATTCTTTAAACTTTGCTTTCAGACTTTTTACTGTCCGTTGACGCTGCAGCCTTGTTCTCCTACAGCTGCATTTGGGCATTTCTTTCGAAACCTTTTCGAACATGGAGCGGCTACGATAAGGCTCTTCTGATTTTTTTTAATACAGAAACATCAGCCTAAATGTTTGAGTCTCAGCAGCACGAAACAATGACTATTGTCGAGTGGGAATTCTGATCTCAAGTCACATTGCAGCATGTCGGATACGTATTGGATTTCAGTACCACATATGAAAGCGTCTCAAATAAGAATTAAAAATGTCAGATTCCGTGTGTTTTTTGCTCTTTACACTGCCACACAGATGACACATCTGTCACATATGAGGGGGAAAAAAAATCTGATTTGGGCCACTTTTACCTGATGTATAAACGTAGCCTTAGTAATTTTTGTGACTTAATGGTAACAAAAGTCAGGTTTTGGGGGAAAAAATGTATTTCACAATCTAGAAAAACTCAACTTTGATTAGGACAGAATGGGCATTTCAGATTGCACAGTGGTTAACAGTGATGTAGCCATTTCAACAAAAATAACCCCACAGCGGCAGACCTTTTCTTGGACTTTTAAACCTTTTACAACCCCGTTTCCGAAGAAGTTGGGACGATGTGTAAAATGTAAGTAAATTTTATTTAGTTTTGACAGTAAAATGTTTTCCCGTTCTTGTTTGATTATAGGATTTCAGCTGCTCAACAGTTGGTTTTTAGTTTTATAATGCGCCAAGTGTTTTCAGTGGGTGATAAGTCTGGACTGCAAGCAGGCCATTTTAGCACCCTGACTGTTTTACTACAGAGCCATGCTGTTATAATAGGTGCAGAATGTTTGGCATTGTCTTGCAAACAAGGCCTTCCCTAAAAAAGACATCATCTGGATATATAGCAGTAATGGTGCCTTCACAGATGTGCAAGTAACCCACTTCATGCACTAATGCACCACCATACCAACACAGGTGCTTTGAACTGTGTGCTGAAAACAAGCTGGATGGTCCCTCTCCTTTTTAGCCCAGAGGTTTCAGCATCCATTATTTCCAAAAAGAATTTCAAATTTCAAAGGACATTTTTCCACTTCGACTCATTCGATCTTAATTGAACTCAGGGCCCAAAGAAGACGGCGGCGTTTCTGGATCCTGTTTATATATAGTTTCTTCTTTGCATGCTGGAGTTTTAACATGCATTTGTGGCTGCAGTGACGAACTGTGTTTCAACACTTGATATGCTGTCTGTACAATTTTGAATTAAATATTAGGTTTAAATGACACAAAACATCACTACATTGTGTTTTTACAATTTGCACAGCATCCCAGCTTTTTTGGAACGGGGTTGTATGTAGAAGTTTGAACTTTGTACGATTTTGGATTATGACAGTAAAGTTAAGTTTAACTGAGAGTGATTATGTAACCTCTGAGGAAGTGGCTGATGATGAAAAATGTTTCCTAATTCTGTTGGTTCGAGGCATCACTTGATGTCAGTGTCATCTAGTATAAACTCATCCAACAATAGAGGAAACACAGAAAGACGAAAGGCCTTTCAGTTAAAATGACCAGTATTGCTCTTTATTTGGCAGTCAGTAATACAACCATTCAAGTACAATCTGCTATTTTTTGTTTCAATTCTTGCATAACAAAATGAGTAAGATGTAAACAAAGTAATTCAGAGTGGTTTAATGTGTAATGCACTGTTTTAGAGAAGCTTGGAGTCAGATGTGTTTAAAGTTTAGAGTGGCGGTAATGGGAACCAGATATCTGAAGCATTTAATGCCTCTACAAGTTTCCTCAGACAGTTTTTATGTATATGTTGCCTACTGTCTGAGACATTATTGTACTTCATTCTGAAATAGGGATTTGGTCCAAAACTTGCTTGTGAAAATGCATTTATGCTGGAGAGGTACATGCAAGACACTGTAAGGCAATCTAGTCCACAAAGAAAACCTTTTATTTTAACCACTATTTTACCATCATCAGCATTACATATGTAAACTCAGAAGACTCGTGTAGGTTCACTGGTGGTTTTGGATAGTAAACAAAATGGCTACATTTGCATTGTAGACATCATGACTCCTGGCTCCTGTCACCACCACTGTAAAGAATCAGAGTCAGTAAGTTTCTCTACAGTGAACCGTTTCACATCAAACCACTCTGAATGACTTTGTTTACATCTCAGTTATCAAAGAAAATGGTGGAAAATGGTGGAAATTCCCTTTTAACTCCACAATGAATAAGACCATAAGACCTGTGTGTCTCCCCACTGCAGATAAGGAGGCGGCAGACAAACTGTCTAAGACGGTGGACGAAGCGTGCCTGCTGCTGGCGGAGTATAATGGGCGGCTGGCGGCAGAGCTGGAGGACCGCAGGCAGCTGGCCCGCATGCTAACAGAGTACATTCACACCCAGAAAGAGGCGCTCAGTGAAAGAGAGAAAAAACTTGAGGTACAGAGTCTCATGTTCATTCACTGATACAGAACTGTGTACTAGTTAATTCATTCATGCACTAATTTATTCTGCTGTTTCATTGATTTGTTCCACAGTTGCTCTGTTTTTTCCTACCACTTAGTGTGTTGATGCCCCTGTATTGTAATTTTTGTTGCACAATACGAGGCCTGGTCAGTATAGCAATGTTCTGCTGAGTATTGCTTATCGCTGCTGTTGGAACAAAACCTTGTATCTCCATTTTTGTTGCTTTTTAGTTTTTGGCTTAACTTGAAAAAGCCTCTTATCTTTTATATTGTATGAAAATTTCATGACGAATGGTCCAACAGAAGTAACCCAAAATTACTTGGAAAAATGTCTGGTTCCATTGACGAAGATATGAGGTTATGTTCCGACAACAGCGATATGCTTTCAATTACTTGTTATTTTTTCTGAGAAAACACTCAAAATTGTCCTGTGGTCTTTACAGGAGTACAAACAGAAGCTGGCACGAGTAACGCAGGTCAGGAAGGAACTAAAGTCTCACATCCAGAGCCTGCCGGACCTCTCTCTGCTACCCAACGTGACCGGAGGACTGGCCCCACTCCCTTCTGCAGGAGATTTGTTCTCCACTGACTGATCCACGCACATACAAACAAGCAAACACAGGACAGGATCCCTTCTTTTTCTCTAGCTTTCTCTCTTTTTCTCTAACCTCTCTGTCTTCCTCAGTTCATTTCTGTCAGCTCCATCACATCCAGAACTTCCATTACTGGAAGTCGCCACGGAGCACAAAACCAACCGGACTGTGGTTCGACCGACACCAGCTGACCAGCTCAGATCTAGCCAATCCCCAACCCCTGTCTTTTCATTTGGTTTTTAAAAGGAAACTCTGGCCACTGACTTTTTGCTTTAGCTGTGGAGTTCCACCGAGAGCAAACATGGTATTTGCTGGTCCTGCTTTTGTCCTGCTGTGAAAGTAGCAGCATCTCATGCTGTTGTACCTTTATTAGGGTATAAGTTTTATTGCTTTAAAGTGTCATTTTGCTTTGTTTGCTGATTAATTCTTCCATTGGGTGTGGCCTGCGTATGGAGAGATACTTTGAAGGCTTTTTTTCAGTTTGTCACTCACTCGCACAAGCTGTGTACCTGAAATAAAAGCCATTTGGGTTTACTTCTTGTAAACGATATTGTATTTATCGTTTTGTGCTGCCTGAAAACTATAGCTAAGTGAGCAGCAGTGGAGTCCATGTTTCAAATAAGCTCGTCATGTCAGATGATTTTTGCCTCGCTTATCATTTTTTAGGGCAGGGCTAACTAGGACTGGGCGTTATACTGTGAGCATATTGTTATTCTGAATCTGATGAGTATAAAAATAATAGTTCAGAGCTTTGTGTTAAAACTTAGTTTGTTTTGCTGCAGTAACAATGTTTTACGAAATTAATCATGATTTTTGCTCGTGTTGCCCAGCCCTTGGATACTGAATCCATAGCGTGGTCTGTTTTGTTGTCTAGTACTGCGTCCAGAAAAAGCAGAACTACGGTATTTTTTATTTTTTTTTGTCTCCAAACATGATCTTCTCTTTGTTTCAGCAATGCCTCAACCACCACCATCCATTAAGCTATAGACTGCATATTGTTTAAAAAATGTCTCTGAGCTGCTGGCGTTTGAGTCAGAACAGTGACGAGGAGGTGGCTTGATTCAGAACGGAGCGCACCAATCAGGATGAAGCTTTCACAGCTCAGTGTGCAGACCACCCTCCTGGACTGGTGTGAATTCAGTCAAACTCCAGGATTTCCATAATCAAATGTCCTTGGTCCTGTTCATGGTTGTGCCAGAGACACCAACATCATGATGCCTATGTTCATACAGGGTCTGCTGTTAAATGAGATACAAAAATAGACTCTGTCTGAACTCCTTGTGACATAAACTCTGGATGAATATCTCCAAAATGTCTTCTTTTGCAGGTGAACTGATGTTGGTTTTCGGTAGATTTTCACATTTGACTCTCAAGACTGAAAAATCAAAGCTATTGACTTCACAGACGAACGTTTCACCCTACAGACTCACCCATTATGACAGTATACAACAACCAGAACAACTGACAATCAGTAGCTTTCTTTTGTTTTTCACTTTTTACAGGTAAGTGTACTACAAAACTGGATGCGGGGCTTAGCAAGAAAAAATTAAGGCATCTGGGTTATTTTCAATGATAATTCAGGTCTGTCTTAAGTCCAGCTTTGCCGTACACAGTATCAGACACTTCAGCATTCCTTGCCAATAGTGGCAGTAGAATGTAGTGATCAGAAACATACACATTGTTTTTGCCTTCTTTGATAGAATAAATAATAGACTTTGTCCCTGCTAAGCCTTTTCTTTATCAGCATTTTCTTTTTCCCAAAGAATGAACAGACAATAAACTGAAATAGTGAATTCCAGTGATTTTTCCTGCCTAAATGTTTTCTGATTTTTAAGTACGTAATCATGTACCAGTGGGCCAGGAAGAATAGTACAAATTGGTAGTGCAGGAGAGCCCAGTCCTGGTCCTGGAGGTCTACCACCCTGGCATTAATATTCAGATCCCCCTGTAGGCCTTCATTGCATGGATGAGGTGTACTAGATTAGGGCTGGAGCTAAACTCTGCAGGGTGGTAGATCTCCAGGGCCAGGATTGAGCACCACTGCTATATTGCTTCACCTCCCCCTCCCACCACATCAGGCTGTCATGGAGAGGAAACACTCAGTGAAGGAAACAGTGTTGTGATTTCCCATTCACGTTTACTGAGAGTAATCTTCAGCAGATTTGTTTATAGGGTTTCTGACACTATGAAATACTGTCATCTGTCTAAAAAGAACAGAACTTGCTTTTGTATAGACTTGTTCATTTTTACTAAAGCAGAAAAAATATGCTATATTTGGGGCAAATTTGATGTTTTTGCTGAACTATCACTTTAAATTACACACTGCCCATAAGATCTCCTATATCATGGGTCTAAGACTGGACCAGTTTGTGATACTACCTACAGCAATGTGCAAAGGTCAGAGACCACCCCTCATTTATTTAGTTTCCAGTCAAAATGGCCATTAAGTACATTCATTTTCAACATCAGGACAAAAGCAGAAGCATATTTAATGGGAACTAAACTAAATACAGCATATTTTTTCTCAGTATTTGGTGTCCACACTTCACCTTTATTACAGTTTCCATTCTTTTCAGGAGACTCTTTCAGTTGCTCAAAGAAATCTGAAAGGATGTTTTTCCACACCACCAAAGTTCAGTCTTAGAAGTTGGTTGTATTTTCTGCTTCTCACAATCCAAATAATCCCAAATGCGTTCAGTGATGTTGAGGACTCTGGGTGGTCAGTCCATTGTTCTGAGAGCACCAGCAGCTTCTTAGTTTGACGTCTTTTTCCTTTTCTCAGTGAATCTTCTTGAACAGCTACACATCCTTTCAGACCCATAGCACTGAGTTGTCCTCTCACAGTGGAAGGATGGACAGAAACACCTGTGGATGTTTTCAGATCTGAAGCAGCTTGATTTTCTCCTCTCTCTCAAAGATGAAAGCTTTAAGTGCTGTTTATCAGATGGGGCCAGTTTTGCTGGTCAACCATGTGTTGCAGCTGGTTTTTAGAAGTTTCATTTTCTCTACTCATCTAATACTTTTTGATCTGATTTGGAAACTTTTTTCACTTGACTTTCTTCTTTCTTATGTAAGTGGATTATCTTACATCTGAAAAATAAATAACTTCCACTTAATATTCATTTTGATTAGAAATACAGTAAATGAAGGTGGTCTTTGACTTCAGCTCAGTACTGTACAGAGCTGTGAAAAAGAATTTGCCCTTTCACAATTTTTTGTTTTGTGCATATTTGTCACACTTGAATGTTTCAGATCATCAAACACAAAACACTGTTTTTAGATGATGATTTCATTTATTGGATGAAAAATACTGTTCACTACCTGGCCCTGTGAACAAGTAAGTGCCCCCTTAGCTACTAAATCAGCTAGTTAACCAAATTCAATTGTCTATTGGTTTCAGTTTCACTAGCATTAGCCTCTGGGACTCCAGGAAAGGCTCATCTTGCATTTGCCAAAAACATCTAGATGACCCCCAAGACTTCTGGGAAAATATTCTGTGGACTTTGTGGAGTCAAAGGTGGAACTTTTAGGAACACATGGGTCTCATTACCTCTGGCAAGAAGCTAACACTGCATTCCATAAGAACATCATACCAACAGTCAAACATGGTGGTGGTAGTGTGATGGTCTGCACACAGGCAAAGTCCTGACTTTAATAGCACTGTATCTCTCTGTGTGTGTATATGTGCGTGTATATATATATATATATATATATATATATACACCAATTAGGCATAACATTATGACTTATGACCACCTCCTTGTTTCTACGCTCATTGTCCATTTTATCAGCTCCACTTACTATTTACTTTTTACTTTGTAGGTCTACAATTACAGACTGCAGTAACACTGACGTGGTGGTGGTGTGTTAGTGTGTGTTGTGCTGGTCTGAGTGGATCAGACACAGAGTTTTTAAACACCTCAGTGTCACTCCTGGACTGAGAATAGTCCACCAACCAAAAATATCCAGCCAACAGCATCCTGTGGGCAGCGTCCTGTGACCACTGATGAAGGACTAGAGGATGACCAACACAAACTGTGCAGCAGTAGATGAGCTGTCTTCTCTGACTTTACATCTACAAGGTGGACCAACAAGGTAGGAGTATCTAATAGAGTGGACAGTGAGTGGACACAGTGTTTAAAAACTCCAGCAGCACTGCTGTGTCTGATCCACTCGTACCAGCACAACACACACTAAAACACCACCACCACATCAGTGTTACTGCAGTGCTGAGAATGATCCACCACCCAAATAGTACCTGCTCTGTGAGGGTCCATAGGGGTCCTGACCACTGAAGAACAGGGTAAAAGGGGGCTAACAAAGTATTCAGAGAAACAGGTGGACTACAGTCTGTAACTGTAGAACTACAAAGTGCACCTATACAGTAAGTGGAGCTGATAAAATGGACAATGAGCGTAGAAACGAGGAGGTGGTCATAATGTTATGCCTGATCAGTGTATATATTACACAATCATCGTTACAACAATGTTCTGTGCCAACAGAAACACTATTCGCCAGCAGCTGTTGGTCAAATTGGTCTTGACGATGGTTAGATTTGGTCAGTTAGAAACTGAATGATATCTGATGAATAGAAGAAGTGAATTTATTCTCCAATGACTAGATTCTTATAGCCCTGGATGTTGCTTAGTTTATCCGAGTGGAAATCAATCACTAGTTTCCGTATTCCTGAAGCCTTGGGTGTGAACTCCAGCTCAGCAGTGCTGATCTCTTCAGGACCCACTGCTCCAACTCTGAGGATCAAGAGAGGAAGAGAAATGATTTATTAAAAGAACATTAAAAGGCACTCCAGGTTAGAGATTAGACATCTGTGCTTTAAGCATATTGGTCTACTTAGTGACGGGCAATATGATGTGATATTGCTATCATGATATTAGGTCACATTAAGCATATTATGGGTACCGTCAGTACTTAAAAGAACATTAATTCTTCTTAATGCATGATTCTGGTGTAGCTGAGGCTCCTACATGGCGCAGCTGTCAAGGTTTGAAATTCTGATGATGTGGTGAGTCCAAGTGGGAACATAATTGGCCCAGTGTTATTAGACTAAGTAAAATCTGATTTTGGCGGTAATTGGTTCAACAAAGGTACAGGAATGTTAGTAATCTGATAGAGAATGTAAAAACTCCAGGTCTATACACATCGTACACAGTATGCAACTTGGGAAGTGCCAATATAGGAACAGTGGGCCGGTGCCAATGTCCACATTTTTTTTTTTATGCACGTATTTGTTGACACTGATACATAAACAGTTGTAAAATGTAGAAGTTGGGATGAAATCCACCTGGGTTACACTGAAATTTTCACTTATTTCTAAAGAGCTACAAGTCCAGTAAAAGGAATGAAATACAGTTACTTCAGTACAGTAGCCCAGCATCCCATTCTGCTTCTCTGGAGTACAAGAAATACAATATGAACAATAAATAAAATTAATAAAAAAGTAATTAATCAATAAAAAAAATCAATAAAAATCATCAAATATGGGTTTGAATTACAAAACGCATCAGATAAAACACATTAAATTAAAGAAGAATTTCATTTGCAGGCAAAATGTTGCCTAAAGAAAACATTTTTTTTTGTCAAGCCAACTTACTATTCTTCGTTTATTATTCTATGCTTCTTAGTACTCTTTTTTACATGTTGCAGCTGTTTTTACATGTTACAACCACAAAACTTACGCAGTAAACTGATCAAAACTGATGCAGAATCATAGAACCTATACAGAATAGTTAGCAACCACCTGGGACACCATAGCAGCAGCCTAGCAAGACCCTAGCAACCATCTGCAATACTACAGCAAAAGCTCAGCGACACCCTAGTAACCACCTGGGATACAATAGCAATGGCCTTTCAAAACCCCCTGGATACCATAGCCACAGTCCAGCAACATCTTAGCAACCACCTGGGATAACATAGCAATGGGCTAGCAACACCTTTGAAATCACCTGGGATACCCTAGCAACAACCTAGCAACACTTTAACACATAGGATTTCATGGCATTGTCAAGTTGTCAAGCCAACACTTTGTTTGTCCACATACTTTCCCCTTCTAGGTCCACCTACTCTTTAGTGATTGGTGCTCCATCAGTCAGGCTAGCTCCATGTAAAGAGAAGACACAGTTCTCCAGTGCTTCCGGTAGAGGATTCACCAGCAGTACGATGACCACAAGTGGCTGGCCAACCTTGGCCTCCCCTTGGACCTGCAGAGGAATGAGGTCATAGCACAGTTTACTCAGTAGGATATTTCTAGCTTTGAAAGACCCAAAGATGTTATTATTCTGTTACTGTAATATCTATTATAAAGTAAAGGCCCATACAGTGATGGTGATGGAAGGGCTGTCCAGCATTATGGTCTTGGTGGCTTTGTAAAACTCCTTGGTCTCTACGTCAACAAGCAGAGCCACCAGTTTGATCATCCTGTCTTGAGTTATGGCTTTTCCATACTCAGAATACTTAAGTTGAAGGGCTGCCTTATCACCTGGAAAGCAAAACGGGAACAGGCTGAGTTAGTTTTATTGGAAACACTGCGAATATAACAAAATGGATGTGGATGTGAAATGTGAAAATTGCCTTAGATTAGAAACCAGTGTCTCTTTAACCATATCATTCAATTTAATATGGCTATTATTTATCCTGTTGTCTTTTTTAATATTTATTATGTAACAACAGAAAATCTACTTATTGTACTTTTTAAAATAAATATTGGTTTTAGCCACTTATTAGACTGAGAGAACAGTCCATTACCCTCTGTTGGCTTCAGATTCATCTCTGTGAGCTCCG